CATGAAGATCTCGACCGCTTTGCGCAAGACAGAATGTCGGCGCTCAACTGCAGACAAACGCGTGTGAGCTTCACCTGGGGCAACTTCATGTTGGACACCAAAGTCAGTGGTCCATTCAGAGAACTCAGTGCCACACCATCCTCTCCCTTCGTCCGTCACCAGTTTGGTGGGGATGCCAAAGTGCTTGATCCAGCATCGCTCGAGGCCCTTGATCAAGTCGGGACCACGCTCGGACTTCAGGAGAGATGCCACTTGGTACTTGGTGGCGGTGTCGACCACAGACAAAACTGGAAACTTGTTCTCGCCAATCTTCAGCCAGAGAACGTCGGCTTGAACACATTCTCCCACCTCAGTGGCTCGTTGTCGAAGAGTCGCTGGTGATGGGTTGTTAGGCTTTTTGTAGCGCAAACAGGCCACGCACTTGTAAGAGCGGGCGGCTTCAACCACAGCATCTGAAGCACCTCGACTTTGAAGAAGTTCCACAAGGGATTCTGGGCTCGGGTGCCCCAAGTTGCGGTGTAGCCGTTGGACTGTTCGCACCGCTTCTGCTTTGAGGTTGGTCTGCAACTGGATGAGTCTACCAGTGACCTCCTTCTGCTCCGGAACTGCCATAGCGTGTTCCCATAGTTGAGGTGGATCTGGAGCGTAGATCGCTGAGGCCAGTGTTGCCGCAAGGCTGGGCTGGTAGTTCTCCATGTAGGACGTTCTACGGCCAATGCCACTTGCAGATCCCTCCAAAGCACAGTGGTTGTGTTGCCCATCACAAAGTCGATTCATCGCCACTGACATCGTGACCTTGGAGGTCAGAAGGGCTGTTGCCTTTTTCACAAGCTCCCATGAGCCAACAGGGTTGAGGCAGCAGCTGCCAAACATGCACTGGTGGAAGATCGTGAAGTAGCCCGGAAGATCTTTGAGTGCGGTGGTCTTCCAACTGCGAGCAAGTTCAGGCTGCTCTATGTGGGCATGTCGGGCATTGTCCACCTGCTCCATGTAGATCTGGGCAACGAACTTCAAGTGCACCTTATGGTGTCGAGCTCGCTTGTTGTAGAGCTCCAGCTGCTGAGACTCAGTTCGAGCCGCAAGGTTCTGCATTTGGCTCCACAGCCGGCAGTCAGGGCTGATGTAAACTTCATCTGGCATCTCATCACGTTGACGTTCCAGAAAGGCACGTTGGTGCTCAGGATCATCAAAGTCCCATCCAGTGTTGGGCCCAAAACATTCCACAGTCATGCCCATCCTTTCGGCGATCTTGGCCACTCGAGCCTCACCACAGTACACTTCCCACAAGACCCGAGGTCGGTCACCAGAGTTGTGCAGCTCGGAGGTGACATAGGCATGGAGGCTGTTCTCCAACTCGTTCAAGTGGACGTCACAAGTGTCCAACAGATGGCGCTGCATAGGGCGCATGCCCTCATTTGATGCACATTCAGTTGGGGCCATCTCAAACAGTTTCTCCATGTTGTTGAACTCCTTGAAGGACGTGGTGTTGGCTTCGGTGTCGGCTGGGGCAATCAGCTCAAACGCTGGTGGGTGAGCCAGCCAAGCCAAGTCGTAGTCATCCAAAAGTGGCAAAAGGTATTCGCCATGGGCTCCAATCACAGTGGGCTGCCAGTCCATGTCGCCAAGCTTGATGCGTCGTCGGCCACAGTCCAGGACCAATCCCAGTTGCTCCATGATCGGCCGTCCCATCAGCATAGGCGTTTCTCCCTTAAGGAGGTACATCTGGACATAGCCAAACTGGCCAGCCAGGAACATGGGCAGCTTCACTGTCCACTGGCACTGAGAGCTTGCATCACCTCCAAAGTGGAAGGTGCGTGAGCATCGCATGAACTCCAGCTGCGTGATGTCAAAGTCCATCTCGCGCAGCTTCTCCACGTAGCGCTTGAAGGGACCGTAGCCGCTCAGAAATGCTGAAGCGCCAGGGTCCAGCATAGAGCAGTCAGGTCGCTCATGGCCACGGTCATCCAAGAAGATGACAAGTCCATGCTCATCTCCAACCACTGACTCGGTTGGTGCAGATCTCTTCTTTGGGCTCCCTTTTGGAACTGGACAGTTGTAGGTTGTATGACCCTGCTGTCCACACCTCAGGCACGTCGTAGATGCCAGGGCTACTTGAGCACGTCCACGAGGGTCAGCTTTTCCAGGACCACGTGGTGGGTACTTCACGGTCGTGCGACCACCCTTGCCCTTGTTCTTCCCCTTGGGTTTGCCTTTCCCTTTTCCTCGACCAGGCGAAGACGAAGGGGAGGCTGTTGGCGAAATGCCAGGGGAAAGTCCAGCACCAGCTTCGCTGAGGGCGACGATGGGCAAGTAGCCACGTGCCAGCTTGATGTCATTGAAGCGCTTGCGAGCATCAAGGTAGGCCGCAAAGGCACTGTCGTACTCCTCAGCTTGCTCTTGTGGGTCTTCAGGAGGAGCTTCATCACCGTAGTAGGCTGCATCATCGTCAAACCCAGTGGTGTCCTCCTCATAGTACCCATGGTGCGAGGGAGACTCATAGTGGGTCGGTGAGTCATTGTACTCCGTGTAGTACTCGTCGTACTCATAGTGGGCGGAGTAGTCCTCAGCTTCATAGTCGTAGGACTCATCCCATTGACCTGGATCGGCTTCATCATCACCATAGAAGACTGCATAGCCACGACCTTTTCCACGGTGACCTCCTTTGGAGTGTCCGGCCACCGTCTTATAGTCTTGGCCCAGCACCAGGAAGAGCGTCTCCTGGACCTTGTTCTTCTCCAAGGTGGGCGTTTGTGTCAGCACCAGCTGGCGCTGCTCGCGCGTCAGTCCAGCGCGGCGCAACAAGTGCCATCCCTGCACTTGGGTCGGCAGCGTCACCTTGTGGTCGGCCAGCCTGTTGTAGAGCTCGTCGTGCTGGGTGCAGTAGTCCAGCAACGTCTGACCACTGTGTCGCTGGAAGCCGCTGAAGTACTTGTCGAAGTCGCCAGGGAGTTGGACTCGATTGTCATACTCGAAGGCCTTGTCCAACATCTTGAGGAGCTTGTTGAAAGCATCGCTCTTCTCCACATCCTCCAGCGGGAACGATTCGACCAGCTTCCAAGCCGTGCCCGTCAGGCTGGAGATCAAGTTGAGGACCCCCTCAGCTTCTCTCTTCAGGAGCTTCATCTTGGTCATGTACAGGGAGATCCTCTTTCGCCACTCGCGGTAGTCGCTTGGGGCACCGCTGAACAAGGGCACATAGTTGTCCTTGGTCACCGCGGTGTCACCAGCTGAACTCGCCGCTGAAGACATAGTCCAGGATGTAGTTCCCAGTCACCGGTTGCCTGCACAGGGCAAAGCACAGAAGGCTTGCACAGGACCTTAGCTCAGCAAGGGCCGCGGCAGAACGAAGCCAAGAGCACTGAAGGCTCAGCTGGCTCCAAGGCAGCACAGAGCCAAGAGCACAAGGGCTCAGCAGGCTCCAGAGCAGAGCAAAGCAGAACGGAGCCAAGAGCACGAAGCTCAGCAGGCTCCAGAGCAGAGCAAGGCGGAACAGAGCCAAGAGCACGAAGCTCAGCTGGCTCCGCTACCAATGCGAAGAACGGGGGGTAGCCAGCCCACGAAGTCCGGTCCCACCAAGCAGCGTCAGCTGCAGCAACCTTTCACGAGGAGGTTGCGTCACCGTAGCGCCATCCAGCGCGTGAATTCCCTCCCTTAAGGGTAAATAGCCACGGCAGGGCCATGAATTGCTACGTTGTGACCCATGGTGCATGGAGTGCACTTGACATATATTATTAATACATATTCATAGTACAGTTGCCCCATCCCAACGGCCTTCCCGGGTCGGGTCGCGCGACTCGAGGCGGAGAAGGCGGAGAAGCGGTACCGGGACTTCGGGATCCAAGCTGCAGCTTGGCGGAACGGTGAACGGTGGCTGATGGGGTGAACGTACGATTTATATGGGATTTTAATGGGATTTATATGGGATTTAATGGGATTTTAATGGGATTTATAGAGATTCAATGGGATTTTAATGGGGTTTTATAGTGATTTAATGGGATTTTAATGGGATTTATAGTGATTCAATGGGATATTAATGGGATTTACCCTCTGGTAAACATACGAAAAACTATGGAAAATGGCAATGGAAATAGTGGATTTACCCAGCTAGAAAATGGTGATTTTCCATAGTCATATGGATTATATATGGATTACCCTCTGGTAAACATACGAAAAACTATGGAAAATCACCATTTATAGCTGTGTAAATCAACTATTTTAATGGCAATTTTCAATAGTTATGTTAAATTACCAGAGGGTAAGGTAAAGGATGGCAGAGATATCCATAGAGTTGGAGATTTAAGAACATTTTCTGAACAGATGTTAACGAAAGTCATGTTGATTATCACACACACAGACGTCTGTTTTCTTGTTTTCGTTGTTTCAATGTGATCCATTTCCTCATTGGTTAGTTATTGATACAAGGTTTATAAGCCACGTTAAGCAGTTTCTACCAATGGCTTTAGTACCTGGTGAACCTGTCTTGGGAGATCAGGGTCCAGGTGAGTCGGGCGCGAGTCGGCACCGATGCGATGTTTGCACCAGTGGTTTGTTCGCAAAAAATGAGATTCACATAGATTCACGATCCATCAAACATCATTTTTTAGCTGCATTCCACTTAAGTTTCCAACTAGTTGTTTCATGTAAAAAAAAATCGGGTGTCTATTTATTCCCCATTTCTTGTCCATTTGATCGTCAATTCCAGGTGGATCACCTACACAAGGTGACCTGAAAAAATACAAAAAATTGAAGCTGCAATTTCAAACTCCAGGGCTTGAAATTGGAACATTGATCCATGACAAAAATTATGACGAAATTGACCAATTATTTTAACATCATAATCATGTAACAACATTAAATTTCCGTAAATCCTGTCTAAATCTATGGAAATCTAGTGACACATTAGGTTGCATCAACAAAAATCTCGACCTTGCGACCCACGGCACGTGCAGGAGATGGTGTTGAAGGATGGCAGTGCCCAGACGGACGGCAACTGGACGGACATGGCGGCGGAGAAGCTGCGCATGGAGAAGAAGCGGAAGCGCCGCGCGGCCAGCGCCAAGGAGGGACGGGAGGGACGGCACACGGTCGAGACCGTCGAGACATGTCGAGACGGTGGCGGCGAAATCACCTTGTGGAACGGCCAAAAAGTTGGAACATCGGGAAGTACATATGAATATAATATCTATCTATCTATCTATCTATCTATCTGGATAAATTATAACGACCTCACTGATCTCCCTCACTGGAATCATGGTTAGTAAGGGAAATCATCCCCATGTAAGGCCTTAATTCAGGTTAGTGAAATATTATAATTTACCAATATATATATATTTATATTTATGTCGATTTATTTATATCTATTTATGAATATGAACATGAGCATGAATAGATATGATACTGTAATGATATGACCTCCTCCTCATATTTAGGGTCGGAAAGCAATGTGGCAATGTGATATCACTATGACGGCTTCACTCCACCAGGTGAACCCGGTTTGATGAACGATGGGAGTTGCGGAAAGCCAATGGCTGGGGGCGTTATGCAATCCACAGAATGTCAACAAACATGGGATTGTCAGCTTTCTCCCCCTCAAAAACAGTCAACACAGTGCAAAAGTGTCAAGTTTAGCTTTGAGCAAAACATATTGAATGTTGTGCTTATTGAGCTACCTGTTTTCAACACCTTGCAGGTCTTGATAGCAGAGATTCCCCCAGGTTCTGCTTGGAAACTAGACCAAACTTCCTCATTTCAGAGCTTGCGACACTTTAGGGGTCACAGTTGCAGCAAAAAGGTATGAAAATGCGAAAAAGCTTCAGACATTGACACCCTCCTGGCCAAACCCATTGGCAACTACCGGCTGGTTTGGCAGTTATAAGGAGGAAACTGGTGATACAAACACCTCATTTTCTGGCCAGTTTCTGAATGCTTTTCGGGGAATAGTTCCAAAAACTGTTTCCCTACTGTAAATGTTTTTTTCCCCCAAGCAGTTGTATCTATTGGCTTTCAGGCATGGTTCCCCACCAGATGATATAATCTTTAAAGGTGATATTCAGTATGTCTATTGAATTTTATTAACACTTATCAACGGTATAATCTTTTAAAGATGCTTACTTCGCAGTTGTTTTACAGCATTGAAGATATAATTGTCTAATGATGTTCTATTCCATTGTCTAGTTTACTCATTGTCTAATGGAATTTTATAGCCTGCCTGGTGTCCATCGCCAGGAAGATACGAAGCAACAGCAGACCCGGGCGGCGAACTTTACTCCCATTGACAAGTTGAAAGATCCTCGGTTGCGAGAGAATATGGAACATGTTGGGGAACATGTTGGATCAAAAGAAAATGGCTGCTATGACTAAACAATCAAGAAATCGACAGCAATTGATTCAGAACGACTTCGGTTTGTAGTTCCAGTTCCGGCCGATTACCTTTCTGATTGATGAGTGGGTCAATAGAACCCCCATACGTAGTTGAACATGTTGAACAAAACCAACTGTGCTGCGGTAGCATCTTTTCTCGCTGGATCATGGATCATGGATGGTCAGGATTCTGAAAGTGCACACCCTGTGCTTCAAAGACGTGAAACATGTAGTACAAGACAAAACATAGATATAGTTCTTTAGATAAACATAGTAATTACTCTAATTAATGGTGGGTGCAATCTGGATCTGTAGTTGAATGTTGAAATGCAAAGTTTGCAAGTTCGGAGCTTCACCTTCCATTCGTTGCAGAGGCGAAGGCAACGGCGGCGGCGATGAAAAAACAGTACAACGTCATGGATTACTACAAGGACCGGGGAGTTCTTCAAAAAAAGAACCAGTGGTTTCTTGATTTTATTGTATTGATATATGATAGAATGATATATGTGGTATCATACGGTCAGATGCTAGGTAAAGTTTGGTCAATAATTGGTCAATACATTGGTTTTAAAGCTGTCATAAACCTGTCCTCATTTGGGATATTTTGCTTAGATATTTCCACCCATTTAGACACCATTTTGATGAGCAGAGCTGGGGTCAGTTACCAAGTTGACCAAGGCTACACCGGGTGCGCAACTCCGCAGGACGAGGGCTGGGCGCAACAGATTGCGCGCCATCCGATTTTCGACAACGTCACCATCCTGGCGACTCAGCAACGAACGGTGGACGTGGTTCACCAGCCATAAAAATGGGAATGGTGATGACTGGGGGATGGTGCAAATGGCATGGTTTTACCCACATTATTGTTCATGGTTATATATATATCATATGAAATATAAAAAAGTATATGGTTGGTTAGCACGCTGCTGCTTGGTGGCATGAGCCCCACACTCAGCACGCTGATGAACTGATAGAACTTTTCAGTCAAGAAGATCAAGTGAGATATCCTCTGGTAAACTAACATAACTATGGAACATCACCATTTTTAACGGGTAAATCAACTATAAATGGGCCATCTATACCATAGCTATGTAACAAATTACCAGAGGGTAGCCATCAGTGGTTCCCATGTGTTCCCAAGGCTGGAGATCTTCCCCAGCTAGGTTTCTTAAAATTGGGCCCGTGGGCGACGAAAAAAGAGAGCGACACCAACCCTTGTTGACGGATCTCCTTGGAGATCTTTGGGGAAAGTTTATTTGGGCAAGGGCAAACAAACGCAGATCTATATAAATCCACGAAAGATTTCCGAAAGATTTAGTCCACCAAAGTCACTCTAAATTGTGGTCCAGGGTTCGAAATAATTGACGATGCCTTGTTCAGGGGGTCTTTTGTCCTGTTTATATGTTTTTATGATTGTGTATATATATATATATGTGTATATAGATAGCACACGCCAATTCTGTCCAATTGCTATCCGCCGAAAAAAAGGATTTCCAAGGAAGCAGTCATAAGAGATCCGAAGTCACATTCAACACAACCGAACATCTCCCTACATGATCGTGTTGGAGCCACAGAGACAACCTACCACGGCTCACGGTTGAGTTTCTTGAGTTTATTGGATGAGTCCCACATTCATGGGAGTTGGCGAAGCTTAGCGGGTTCAAACCCCAAATTTTGGCTTCGCAGCATCTAGGTGGTAATGGCAAACTCCATTTGGCTGGGAATCGACACCGATTTGACGCCGGGGCGACGGTATTGGCAGGGCAGTTTGCGGAGGGCATTTTTGTAGGGAATGGTGTTGGCGAAAACCGGAACTTTGACATGTTTTGCCATGAAATCTGAGAATGTCTGGTGGGTCTTCCCTGCAGTTTTGCACACTGATTGTTGCGGTCAAGTAACAAAAAACATGGTAAATACTGAGAAATTTGCATCGATTTGCTTCACTTTGCCCCAGATTTTGAAACCTTCACCCCTTTGCCACCACACTTGAGGATGTTTTAATTATATATATGATATGCTATGATCTGTATTAATTTTAGTATGTTTTAATGCAACAAATGACCTGGGACTTCCTGTCCGACCATCCCTGGGCCATCAGGGCCATCAGCCTTGCCGAGGAATACGGAGCCCATTCTTTTCCATGCTCATCCTGCCACTTGGATCACTTGGTCATACCATCTGGTTATTTGTTACATAACCATGATGTAGATGGCCCATAGAAATAGATGGTTTACCTAGCTATAAAATGGTGGATCTTTCCATGGAAAACTGTTAGTCATAACCAGATGGTAACTTGGTCATAGCTGAAACACCATTGGGACCCTTGGATCGGACCCGTTTAAAAAAAAAAACGTGGTCACATCGACAAAGTCGCGACTGCAGGTTCCACCCAGTTTTTGTCTATAGTGCCATGACGATATTATGTGTATATAATGGTATATATATATGTATATATATATATATACATATTGTGATACCTCCAACCTCAAAAAAAAGAAATACTGTATATTTGAGGTGTGCCCAGAACCACACTTTTGTATACCCAGCATCTTCCATCTCCTTTCGCCATGTCCAAATAAAAAAATGAATAAAATATTTCTAAAATTCTCAAGCAGATTTCTTTTTTTCCAGGCAATTATTGCTGGAGAGAACTTTTTTTGCACTTACTTCACCTTTGAAATCCTCGTCCGATTTCTGGCCTTCCAACGTGCCTCGGCTCAGCGCCATGTTACGTTTCAAAAATTCTTTTGGTGAAGGGCTTGGCTGTGCTTGACCCATAACAAGATATTTTTCAACCTCATATTGGATAGTTGGTATTTATATGTATTTATTGCTTAGGCTATGGTGGCATGACATGGTCTATCCCTCATCCTTTAAGGGCCCCCCAGGGATGTCGTCTTGGGAGCTGTAACTCATCGAGCCGTAGAGCCATCTTTGGATGCGACGCGAAAAAAGATCCAGAATTGTCCAGAAATTCCCATCGAAAATCATCTTCAGATGACTTACCAATCTAAAGGAAAACCAAAAACCACTCTCTTTTAGATATTTGGAGCCCATGAGGTAAGTGGAAGGCCTTGAAAGACCCGTGGTTCACCTTCGACCTCTTCTTGGCGCTTTTGATCATTGTCGAAACCTGGGTGACGCCCACCGTGCTATTGATGGCAGGCGTTTTCACCACAGATTTTTCACCACAGTTTCTTGCAGTGCTTTGCATGAACTGAAGCAGAGACTCTTGCTTCATGAAGGCTTGATATTTTTTTGATATTTTTTCCGCATGTTTCCTCTCAAAACCCCTGTTGAACAGAGTATTCTCCACTTATCCATGATAGGATTGTATAGGTCCCCGCAGGAACATACCAGCTACTAGCTGATGAGCACCCCCTGGTTACAATGTCCCAAGCCGAGCTTGTCCAGCTTGTCACTCGCTCAACAGCCTACGAACATTACGAACCACCTACTGGTTGCTGCGTTCATCCCTGTATGGCATCTGTTTACTTGCCTGGTTAGTGGTTTGGAACATTTTTTATTTTTCCATATATTGGGAATAATAATCCCAACTGACGAACTCATATTTTTCAGAGGGGTAGGGTTGAAACCACCAACCAGTTGCATTTAATCCCACAAACATCCAAAGATTGCACCCCAAAATGGTCTAACATGATCCCAGATGGAATGTAAAACCCAAATAAACCCGGCGGAACCCCCAAATCAACCAACGGAGGGTTATTAATCCGGGGTTGACACTATATGGATCTACATGGTACCTACTCTTATATATTTATCCGTCAACTCCCACGGTCCCACAATCACCTAAATCATCCACAATCACCCAAACAAATGTCATTTCACATTACTTTCGACAGCTTTTACAAAGTTCTTTTTTTTTTTGATTCCATAAATTGTACTAACATAGCGTAGGTACTTGGTGGCGCACCCAAGTTAGGAAATGGGTTGGTTCGCCCTGGCCAGAAATGGTGTTTGCGCAGGCACAATGTCAGGTTGTTTGATTGCGGTGAATGAGCTAACCCACTTACTGGGGTGTGCCGCCAAGCATTAACAAGCCCAAGTGCAACACATATAAGAATTTAACACAATTTTACATCACAAGCAAAAGTTGAGATATCACCAAGAAAAAGTTGTCTTTCACCATAATTTAACCAACCAAACATGGGCTGAACATGTTTGCCATAAGATTCAGAAGATCTTTGCCCTGACAAGGCGGTTCCAGTGAACTTCCCGAGGGCACAGTGCTGCTAAGACTCATTCGACTGGTCAGGTGCCAGGGACTGGGTCTTGACTGGGAAACATGTGATTTACCCTCTGGTTATTTGACATAGCCATGGTATAGATGGCCCTAGAAATAGATGGTTTACCTATTAAAAATGATGATTTTCCATGGCTATGTTAAATAACCAGATGGTATCACTGTTCAAATGAATTGTTTGATGGGATTTGAAGGGGATTGTAAGGGAACATCTATGAACATCTACAGGAATCCTTGTTTTTTTGGAAACAATTTTTAACAACGTTTTCCGGTCGATTTTCCTTAAGCCAATCCACTGTTATAAAGGAACATGAACGGAAAATGATAAGACCCTCACAACATCTCACAACAGCCTCACTAAACACGATGGGGACCAGGGGGGGGGCCAAAATTTGGCCGTCTTGTCGATCCCAAAAGTGGGGGATGGTGTTTAATACCCACCATTGGTAGAACTTGGCAAAAGGGGGGTATAACATGGTATAAATAGTATAAAATAATGATATGATATTATATATATATATGACACAGACACACACACACATATATATATATATGAAATATATATATATATATCAAATATTATCAAATTATACAGTGTATTATGTATATGTGTGTGATAAATATAGTTTATTGATGGATTTACCAGATTACGTCCTTCCTAATAACTAATGCAACATGATTTAGTAGCGAATATCAATGTTTTGGCATCCCATCTCTGTCATGTACGACACGACAGATAGCACGTAGTTAATATTGGTTGTGTATCGAAACGTACACAGGCAACCAAAAGATCTCGACAAATCAACATTCGCAAAACATGATCAACATGTCAGATGAGATAGACGAGGGCGAGCGACGAGGGCGAGCGAGTGACGGAGGGAGAGAGGGAGAGGGAGATCCTATACTTGATGTTCACATTTCTATGAAATGGTAGAGCCGGTAGAGCATTGAAATCATTCAAAGCCAGTACTGTGGGAAAAACAATGTCATAAACCACCCATGACTGGGAATGGTAACCTAATATCCCAGCTATTTAATGATGGTGATTTTCCTGGGGGATGGTAAACATGACATTGTTTTACCCACATGAAAATCAGGTATTGATCACTATTAACCACTATTAACCACTATTAACCACTATTAATCACTATTAACCATTATTAACCACTATTAACCACTATTAACCACTATTAACCACTATTAACCACTATTAACCACTATTAACCACTATTAATCACTTATTAACCACTATTAACCACTATGAACCACTATTAACCACTATTAATCACTTATTAACCACTATTAACCACTATTAACCACTATTAACCACTATTAACCACTATTAATCACAATTAACCACTATTAACCACTATTAACCACTATTAATCACTTATTAACCACTATTAACCACTATTAACCACTATTAACCACTATTAATCACTTATTAACCACTATTAACCACTATTAACCACTATTAACCACTACCACTATTAACCACTATTAACCACTATTAACCACTATTAATCACTTATTAACCACTATTAACCACTATTAACCACTATTAACCACTATTAATCACTATTAACCATCAATTACCCAGCAATTTAGACGACTAAAAATCACGACCTTTCCACAGCCTGGCGTGGCCGCCGTAGCGGCCAACCAGGTTGGTTCGACTCACAAGGCTCACGCGACTGCTGCGATCCTTTCCCGAGCTGATGATCATCGCAGCGCCAACCCAGTGGTGAGAATAGTTGGGGAGCTGTTCGGAGCTGGTTGGTTATCACGTTCCCTTTTGGACAAAAATTGTGAAATGGGGAGCCAGTTGGAGCCAGTTTAGATTGTTTAATAGAAGTTTAATATGAGCTAGAACATGCTAGAGCTAGTATTTTCCCGACCACATGATAGAAGAACTAGATTGTTTAATATGAGCTAGCCTGGTAGGAAACCATAGCAGGCATGAGGAATTGTGTGGCTTGATTACGATCCTTGGGCAATTTCCACGCGGGGACTTAAGCACGACAAATGACCATTCGTCAACAACATGCGGGACATGTCTTCAACATGGAATTTATACCAGTTGTGACGCGAAGGTCATGAGGTCATCAAAAACGTAACCTTCGGTGGTTCAGTGACATGCCCTCCGGTAAACATACAAAAAACTATGGAAAATCACCATGCTATTAATGGGAAAACTCACTATTTCGACTGGGCCATTTTCAAGTTCGCAAACTGTCAGTTTAACAGAGGGAAAATTCCATTAATATCCCATTGAATCACTATAAATCCCATTGTTAGTTTACCAGTGACATATTGAGTGACCTTCGGTCATGGGTCAGCTGTCCAAGGTCAAAGGTCTAGCCTTTGCTGCTCGATCCGTTTGTGTCTTCTCCCTCTTGTGCCGCCGGCGCTTTGGGATGGAGCAATTGGTCAGCCGAGTTCGGGTAAATTTGGATGGAACATCGTCTAAGAACATCTAAAAAGCTTGAAATTCTGCGGCGCAAAGGGGGTATTTAATCATATTTTATTTGCCTCAGCTTCCGGATCATTTTGTCTGGGTGGGACCTTGGGGCCCAGTGACCAGCGACCAGCTTTTTTTTTGAAAAAAGGGGTGGTGATCAGCCAAGATACCCTCCGAATCACATGACTTGTTGGTGGTTTCAAACATGTTCGATTTTTTCATCCCTGGATTTTTGTTACTGGGATGATGCTTACACCATAAAATTAGTTAATATGAACAGTAGAACATGTATGTAGACAAAATATGAAACATGCTTCCATTTCCATTTTCATTACCCACCCGGAAAATGACGAGCATATTTTTGTACATACACCAGGTGGGCCATCATCACCTATGCCTTCGCCATCATCTTGCGTCAACTCACGGATGGAACGAGCCTCGACGGACCAGGAAATCAGGAAGATAATGGAAGATATGAACCATCAAGAATCTCCTTGCTGATGTGTTTTAATCATTAGTAAAGCAATAGGATCCACCATCCCCAATTTTACACTAATGGATTGTATAAACATGTATAAACCATCAAACTATGAGTGGTTTATCATTGCTTTACTAACATTCATATGCTTTAGATAGTTTTTAATGGTATTTGAGAAGGAACACGTGGAGATATCATTGATAGATGATGGGTGGTTCGTTCTGAACAAGGAGTTACACCGGGTTTGTGAACCAATCCATATTAGAGAAAGCCAACTATTAATGGAACGGGTTTATAGGATTTAGTGAAGATATTTAACGGGATTGGTTTTAGTGGGGTTTAATCTATCGGTTCAGCAAATGATTGACTGGTGTTTTCTAAATGGGAAATCCATCTGTTTCACCAGCAGAAAATTAGGCCTAACAAGGAATAAATGCGGATATCATTGACACATGAGGGTGATTGGCGGTGATTGGTTATGAAATAAGGAGTTGTACTGCCTGGCTATTGGGGTTTATGAACTAATTCATATTAGGAAAACTATCAACCAACTGATTGAACTAGTCTTTCATGAGATGAGATAGAGGTATTTGGAATGGCTCATTTGGTATGGATGATGGTTTCGTTTTTGCTAGATCTGATCTGGTATCGTTGCACCCTGCAGGTACCCTGCAGTTTCGGTTTTTCTCCCATCTTCTCACAATATAATCTGGTGTGTTTGTCCTTATTGTCATTTATGATTTATGACTCATTATTGTCATATATTGTCATTATAATCACTCTGTTGATTTATATAATCACTACGTTGATCATTATATGACTTATTATGATAACATTGGTATCTTTGTCATTATTGTTTATTGCCACTATCGTGATGTGTCGAGATGTCGAGATGTGTTGTTTCACAGCAATCCGAAGATGGAACCCACGGAGTCCCTATGATGAGACACCTTGGCCCATGGCCATTTCCAGAAACATGGCACAGAAATGCGCGGATCCGGATCTGAAAGATCTGATTATATGATATCATATGCAGATAATTGCATATCAGATATGTTATCATATTGCATAATGTTACATACTTGTTCATATGTTTGCACATGTATGTATATATTTATATATGTATATAGAAATGAAATGTATTTTAGATTAGGTACCCACAAAATACAAACTGTGTTGGGGGAAAAGGGCAGATTGAACAATCGTTTGTTTCCAGCTTGAGAATTTCAGGATCCTAAAATGGAGATACTGTACCATATAAGGCCATATTTTGGGGGGATATCCCCTTACATAGCCCTTATATAGGCCTTATATATGGTAGGTACCTCCAATTTAGGTTCCTGAAATGGCCATTGTTCCCAGCTTGGGAAAAGTTTTCATGCTCAGACGACAAAGTCACCAGTGTCAAGTTGGGAAAGTTGGGAAAGTTTTTGATGTCATCACCTGTCATGGAAAATGCAATAGGAGATCCCCCAAAAAAGAAAACGGAAACAAAGAACTACAAAAAAAGGCGTATTTCCTCAAAGAATTCCGGAGCCTTTTGGATATTTGGGACGAAGGAAGTTCATGGTCCCTGCTCCCATCAACGGATTGGTTTTAGGGAAAATCTTAACCGGAAACCATCGATTTTCCCATGAAATATGGGACTTCCCTGCAAAATTGTCCTTAAACCAATGCATTGATCCCAGTGAGGAGCATTGGCACCACGTTCTTCAAGACGGTGCCGGAGTCCATCAACACGCTGCTGCTCCCTGCAGTCTTTGGAGCCAACGCCGAGGACGGCGGCCATGGCGGGTTTAGTACCGTTGATCTGAAATGAGTAGGTTTTTTGTAGGCCAACTTTAGCAACTTGATGGGTTTTTCATGTATGTTTTTCACATTTGCACTATGCATCATAGCAAGATCTACCTACCAACTTGGTACCCTCTGGTAAACATACAAAAAACTGTGGAAAATCACCATTTTATAGCTGGGAAAACTCACTATAATTAAATGGCCATGGCTTCAATAGCTATGTATTGACATAACCAGAGGGTAGTTATCTTCTCCAGTTGCGGCTTCGCATGGCTTCGCATGGCGCATGGCTTCAGGTGATCAACTCCATCAGTGCGGGCAATCCGGGGCTGTGGCCTCTGATGGTCTTCTTCATGGCCCTGGCCTCCTGGCCGTGCAACAGTCCGACGGTCCTGGGATTTCCATGGGAGACGTGGAGACGTGTTGTTTAAGGTGGGCCAAATAACTGGCGGAGAGAAATTGAGCATTCATTAATGCATTAATCATATCCAATTATATCATTTTTTTCCAATTATATCCAATCATATCCAATTATATCCAATCATATCCAATTATATCCAATTGTATCAGTATCATAACATATCATAACCAAAACGTATTCTTGCAGCACGGTGATAAATGCTGGCTAGGGATGGCTTCCTTTGCTGTACAACAAGGTGGCGCCATTCGAGAAGTTTAGGGATGACATGTCATGGTTTGTCGGAGAAAATAAGGTATAACATGATATAACCAAATGTTTAGACAGTTTATCAATGTTACGTCTCATTATGTATCATTTTTCCATATGTTCATCAGTTGTATAAATTATGTAAACTTGAAACTGTTGAAGGCATGCTCCATTTTCGGGCATGCCCATTTTTCACATTGTCGGTATCATTAGTTCCTACCCTGAATTGTTGTTGCTAAGTTTCCTTTTTCAAACGCACCCCAAATGGGTTCTAGTTATACTTGGGTACATTTCCGATTATATTCCCATCGTATTCCCATGAAACTCCATTTCTCTTAATTACTTAATTTTATAAATCCCATTGCCTTCCCACTAAATCCCCATCCCCGTGACTGTGTTCGTTAAATCTCATTTTTTCCAAACAAATCCCCATAGCTTTCTCTGTGAGCCCCCGATCTTCACCAAACCATACCAAGAACCTTTGCTTGAAATGAGCACTCCATCAATGGCCATGCAACAGGATCCCATTCATTGGAGGTACCTACCACAAAAAAAAGGCCCATTTTTCAGGCCGAAATTTCAGGGAATATCCCCACAATTCATATGGCCTTATATAAAATGGTACTAACGGTACCTCCATTATTTTAGGATCCCGGAGATCTCCCATTGACTCCAGGTATCATCTTTAGTTGACATAGTCTCATCAAAAAAACCAAGGGATATTCTTCCGTGGCACCATGTGGCACCAAGAAATCCATAAACATCCCAGGTCTCAGTGACCATCATGTACATGTTACTGGGCGTCCTGGTGGACGTCATTGGTGCAGTGGCATCCACCGAGAAGCAGAAGATCGAAATCACTTACATTGTGGGACGCTGGGTGTTCGCGGCATATGCTGGGCTTTGGGAAGTAGCCTCCCTATTAAAACGTTTGCATCGTGGAAAAGCCCCGGAAATGTAGATCCGAACGGAAAACCATGGGTTGTTAGTTTATGGCCCTAGGTGCACAAACAAACTCATGGGGATTTGATGAGATATATTAATTGGAAAAACAGGGGATTTAACTAACAAAGTTATGTCCTCAAACATCCTAAAACCACATATTATTCCCTTGAATGCCAGGGCTGGGATGCAAAACGTCAACCAGTGATCTCATTGTCACATTGGTACCCCCCCAAACTGGGCAGAGGAAGCAGAGGAAGAATTGCAGAATTTCACAGTTGACCCGAGGAGTTATTGGCAATCTAAAGAAATTAAAGATCCAGGGGCATTCCTGATTTCGTTTGGGGCACATTGAACCACCATCCACAATGACTTCGATTTGCTGAAAATGTTTCGTTGATTTTCCCAGGAAATCCACTTGGGAAATCTACAGTTCCCCTGCCAGGTGAGGGTGCTGTTCCTGAAGTACCCTCTGGTAAACTGTCCCATAACGAACTGGAAAGATCCGCCATTTTATAGCTGGGTAAATCAACTATTTCGACTGGGCCATTTTCAATAGCAAACTGTTAGTTTACCAGAGGTTAAATCCAAGATGACAAATGCCTCTCTTACATCAATTCCAAGCCCAAGGACAACTTCGAGAGGTGCAAGTTGGGGGGTGGGGAGAGTAGCCGAAAAACCGGCACAGAGAAACACCAAGCACTGACTCACCCGTGGAGGATGAAGAATCTAGTACGTATTTATATATATATATATTATTATATATATATTACACACATATATATATATATTACATATATATATATTACATATATATATATATATTACATATATATATATATTACATATATGTATTTTATATAATTATACTATTACATGTATTGTTAAATATTGATTCATTATGTAGATATGTTGTACAATAGTATAAGTACCCTCCGATCAAACATGGCAATGGAAGATCCGCCATTTCTAGAGGATTTTCCCATGGCAGGAGCTGGAAAAGATGCATATTGTTCCGGCCACTTGGGAGCTGCAGGTGATAGGAAACCATCAGAAACCATCAGGTGATAGGACTCAAGTCTGGCTCTAATGTCCCTATCAAACACCTCCAGAAACCATGGTTTTTTATAGGGGATGAAACCACATAGTTATTTGGAACCATTAACCATGTGATACCATGTGGGTGTTTAACAAGGGATTCTGGCCAGGATACACCAGGTGATTTTTCAACAGCCAAGGAAGATATGGCCCTAAACCAGATGGACTTTCAAAAGCTGCTTGGTGACGGGGTTGGACGGTGAGACGTTTCAGCTTTAACAAATTGTGTTACCGCAAGATCTGCCATTCTATGCATGTCATATTCTATAGATGATTTTCCCAACGAACTAAACCTCCATTGAGTTCGGGGAAATTCCCAGCTATGTTGGATATCAGAGGGTATATCCCAATTATCCCAGGTGTTGTGCCAATTCTTTTCCCGATCCCAATGGTTATCCCATCACCCCATGATATTAGAACCCCCCTTCATCCCCTTCATATGAATTCCGGTAGTCGCCCCATGAATATCACGAAAGGTAGCTCCAGTGGGGCTACCTTGAGTTTTGCTTTACGAAGTGGGGAGGGTGGCCAGCCCCGTTGCCTGATTATTCAGGAGATTGCTAGTCATTTCAGGACCCCCTCCTTCCTCCACCCCCCCGGGAACCTTAAAAGCAGATCCCAAACATTGTAATTTGCAGTGTTTTTTTTTGCTTTTGGCATCCAAAAAGTAGCTCTTGCAACATGCTGAAAAGAGTGTAAATACCAGTGTTTTTGCTAGGTGCTGCCTCGAAAACATTGTAAATACCGTGATTTTTGCTATTAGAGGCAAAAAACAGCGTCAATACCGTGCTTCTGGGCTTCCGAGGCGCCAAAAACATTGGTATTTACGGCGTATTTTACTCCGAGAGTTGCAACAACATGCGAAAACAGCGCCTATTTGACGATTTCCGGCCACTTTCACAAAACTTTTTTTCGATTTAACATTCCGATGCTTGCACAAAGATGTGTTTGCATGCAGATACGCGTGTCCATGCAGACGGTTTTGCACACAGAGCGGTTACACGCCGAACACCTTTTACACAGAGAAGCCCTTGCACAGAACAGCTTTTAACAGCAGAAGTTTTTACACAGACAGGCTTTGACCCAGCGAAGCTTGCGCACACACACACACACCCACACGCACACGCACACGCACAAAGACGCTCCTCGCCGAAACGTACCCACCGACACTTTTCCGCACAGAAGCCTTTGCGTCCAGCCATGGGCTCATGGGCAAGTGCGAAGGATTGGCCGTGTTCTTCGCGAGCGAGCAGCTTGTGTGTGTGCCGGTGAAGACTGCGCGCAGCCTCGGGATCGAAATTTTCGAGCACATTGACGAGCCAACCGGTCCGTGTACACGTTGTGCACGTTTTGCCTTTATCCGTATCTTTTCTACCAAGCACTTGTGCATTAGTGTGCCCACTCTTGACCTGCCAGGCTGCGATGGCAACGGGCTCCGTTGCTGGTAACAGCCCGCAAAAGGACCCTTCTTTTACTTTTCATATTTGTTTTCCGTTCTATGCTTGCCACACCACACATGTTCGTCTTTCTTTCGTTTGTTCAGTTTTTTTCCATTCGGTATTTCCTTTTTTCTTTCTTTCTTTCTTTCTTTTTTTCCTTCTTTCTTCCTTTCTTTCTTTCTCTCGTTCTCTCTCTCTCTCTCTCTCTCTTCCTGCTACACCTTTCTTTTTTTTCCCAAATGCGTAGCAAGGGTTCCCGTTTCACTCTGGGGGTTGAGGGTGTGTTCGCTCGACGTTGCGTTTCTGTCCGCAACCGTCCGCAACCGTTTGCAACCGTTCCCAACTGTTCGTGTGAGGACCGTATGGCCGTGCCTATGGTAAGTTCTGCAGGAGGGGTCATTTTTGGAGGTTTCCAACGTTTCGTTGCTTCGTTTCGCGTGGCAGGCGTTGCACTTTGTGACATTCAGACGTGTTCTGTAACGTGTCGAAAGTCGTTTTGTGTGGCAGGCGTAATACATTTTGCGACGTTGTCCGAAGATGCATGGCAGTTTTCGTGGCAGGCGCAGCACTTTGGACGGGTCCATCGTCATTCTGCGTGGCAGGCGCAGCACTTTAGACGTGTTGTGTTGAGTGTTTTTTGCAAATCGCATTGGCAGGGCTGCGTTAAGTGGCGACAAGGTGCAAATTCCGTGGCAGGCGTGGCATTTTGTGAGATGTACTGAAAATTGACGGAAGCCTCGCACGAAACATCGATTTTGAGGTAGCAAATGTGTAGAGGTTCCTACGAAAACTCGTAGGAAAACGTCGATTCTGAGGCTGCAAAGTGTCAAAATTGGAGGAAGTCTCGCGCGAATTGCTCGTTTTGGTGCTCCCACCTGTCTCGTCTCGTGTCATTGGTTTTATGGTGGCTTCGCCGTGTCTATGGGGGAAGCTGCAAAACATGTCCCTTCGGCATGTTTCAAAGTGTGAAAATTGGAGGAAGTCTCGCACGAAATGCTCGTTTTGGTGCTCCCACGTGTCTCGTTTCGAGTCTCTAATTTTCCTGTGGCTTCGCAGTGTCTATGGGGGAAGCTGCAGGTTGTCATGTCGTTTTGCGTGGCAGGCGTTGCACTTTGTGACATTCCAACCTGTTTGATAACGTGTTGAAAATGTCAAAATTGGAGGAAGTCTCGCACGAAATGCTCGTTTTTCCTGCACCCACGTGTCTCGTCTCGAGTCTCTGGTTTTCCTGTGGCGTCGCCGTGTCTATGAGGGAAGCGCCCGCACTCCACACTCTACACTTTACACTCCGCACTCCTCACTTTACACCCCACACTCCACACTCCACACTCTACACTTTCCACCCCACACTCCACACTCCACACTTTACACTCCACACACTCTACACTTTACACTCCACATGCTGCACTCCACACTCCACACTGCAGACTGGTAACAGGGGAAATATGTACAATGTACAAGACTGTTCAAATAAGCTATTGCAGAAAAGTGTTCTGCGTGATTGCATACCCATGTGTTTTGACATCTGTACCATTGACATACGTGTGAGCATTCGGGTTCGTGGGCTGCATCTTGTTGTTTCCTCTCTCTCTCTCTCTTTTTCCGTGTCCCTTTCTTTCTCTCCCTCACCATTCCTTTCATTCAGGCTTCGCGGAAGAAGCGCGAGATGACACCTGTCCCCTTTCAGGCCCCGGCTGCCAAACTCCTCAAGATCCACGAGGCGTCCAATGCGCAGAACTCCGTTCCGGACCTATACGAATGAAGCGGCTCTTGTACATGATCATCTCCGCGATGCCGCCTCGCAGCTTCTCTGGTCCTCGGACCCACACCTATGAACATTCCCATCGCGTGGTTTCTTGGTTGAATTTGTGTTGTTTGAATCGTTTTACTGCTCTTTCCATCCTTTCTTTTTTTTGGTGTGCGCCCTTTCCATCTTCAGGCTTGGGCCGACTTCCTCAAGGACCAAAACCTCGACGAAGCGAAGCTCCTGAAGTCCTACCAAATCGTGCCCCGTGTTGCCCCATCGCCTACCTTCCGCAAGGGCCTCTACTTGGTGGTCGGTTTTTAGATAGAATACATGTAAATACTTATAGCACTTGACCTACTTACACAAACTTACAAGTTAACTTAGGAAACTTAACTTTTTAATTGTAGCTCTAAGTAACATAAGTTAAATATAAGTAACTTGCAAGTTTTTTTAAGTTATTTTAAGTTATTTTGAACATGAAAGGAGAGGTATTTTAGTAGTTTTTTTCTTCATCATTGCGTTTTGCATTTTTATTTTTTGGTGTTGTAGAAACCTTTGTTTCGTAAGTTTTCTTCGAATTTCTTTGCTGCACTTGAAAAGTTGATGATGTTTTTAAACTTTGGGTTGGACAATCTTAATTTGGAAAAAAATAAAAATGAGAGAGTTGCTGCCCAAAGGGCCGCAGGATAGAACACCCACGGATGACCAAAGGCGTGCGACGTGGCATTCTAATTCGGTTTGGTTTCATATCATATGATGTCATTGTACGAAAGCATGAACCAAAACGACCACAATATACCTGAATGTGTATGGATGTGTATGGATGTGTAAGGATGTGTAAGAATGTGTAAGTCAAAAAAAAAATCCACTTACACATGTGTAAACCAAAAAAAAATCCACTTACACATGTGTAAACCCCCAAAAAATCCACTTACACATGTGTAAACCCAAAAAAAATCCACTTACACATGTGTAAAAATGTGTAAAAATGTGTAAAAAATGTGTAAAAATGTGTTTTGCATTTTCTGTTTTTTGCAAAATATGATATGCCTTTGCTGTCATATACGCATTTTCTCTCAGGCCTCAGTCAAGATCAAAACAGGGGCTGTGGCCTCATGATCTTTCCAAGGGCCCGAACGCTTTTTACTTCGTATCCATCCTGTTGTCCAAACGAGCAGAGGACAAGATATCAACAAAAAGACTCAGAATCACAAAACTTTTCCCGATAGGCTTCTCATAGAGCCGCCTTCCGACAAAAATATCAAAAAATAAAAAAATGTGGTTTTAATTCGTTTCCAACCCAAACCTTGTTTTTTTATATGTTGTTATTCCAACACAAAAAATAATAGCTTTAAAAATCCAAAAAAGTTAAGTTTCCTAAGTTACTTATAAGTTATTTAAGTTGTTTTTTGTTAACTCAAAAAAAATAACTTAAAAAAACTTACCATCTAGTTTATCTTTGGTAACTACTTACAACTACCGTAAAATAAGATACAAACTTAGCTTACTTAGCTTAGATACACTAGGGTTGTAACTACCTTACAACTAGGTTACAAGTTACTTGCAAGTGCTGTAAACCAAAACCGACCACCAAGTATGCAGGCGGCGGCGAGCTGGGAGCTATTCAAGCTCCCACGCTCCTCGAGAACTATCTCGTCGGGCGGCTTGAGGCTCCTACCTTTGCAGCGACCACGGTAGTATGGGCTGCGCCGCTGTTGCGGAACAATGAGGTGTACCGAGATTGGTGTGGACCTGAAAGTGGCGGCGCTAGTGTGGAAGGAATGTACAAAGGGATGAAATGGGTGGGTGGTCGCGGGGGGGTGTTAGGCAGGAGAGCGTCTAAGACGTCTAAGAAGGGCAAATAATTACGGGGGATGCAAAGGCAGAACGAAGCAAGGTTGACAGTGAAAATTGAAGGCGCGGTGGAAATCAGGGGATGATGACGGGGAGGTGCAGGAGGAGGGTAAGTTGCGTAGGAGGAGGAAAGAGGTAGGACAGAGGCAGGAGGTGGTGGTTGGAGGGTGGGGCGCGAAAAGGAAGAAGGGAGCAAAGTAGCGACGCAGGAAAGGAGAGGAAACGAAAGTGAGAACGAAGAGCGAAACATGAGGGGAGGAGGGGACGAGGAAAGAAAGGAAAAGCAAGTGGCATAGGTGCAGCCCAGGTGCAAGGGACGAGCTTGGACAGGAGGAGCAGTGGATCAGCGCGAGGTCCTGGCAAAGGAAGGGAAGGAAAGCCAGCTGGTCGGACAGAAGGGTGAAGGCAGGCAAGCCGCAGCAACATTTTCGAAGGGGAAGCAGGAGAAGTGTGCAGGAGTGTTGGGAGGATCGCCTCAGAGCAAACTATGGGATCAGACGACCTGGAAGCACGGTGGAAGAAATTCCGGCGGAATGCTGCCAGGAGGAGGAGGAGGATGATGACGATGATGATGATGATGATGAGGAGAATGGTGAGGACGAGGAGGAGGAGGAGGACGACGACGAAAACGGTTATGAGGACGTTCAAGATGATGACGGTACGATGGGGCTGACGATGATCAAGATGAAGATGATGGTGAGGATGATGGTGAAGGAGATGGTGAAGATGATCCTTTTGGACAAAAAGAAACCCATTATGAGGACGACGGCGAGGATGAGGAGGATGATTATAGTAGTATTAGTTGGGAAAGAGGAAGAGCAGGATGATGCAAAGCAAGCAAAGAAGGAAAGTGGCAAAAGCAGTGGGAGAATGGCAAGTGAGTTGCACAGCCAGATGCGGGAAACTGGATATGGAAAAAGGTGGTTGGTATGGTTACTGACAGAAGGCCTGGTATTCTTTCTCTTTCTTGTTCCTTGCTTGTCCACACGCCATACGATCTCACCGCCGACTTCCAGGACACAAACCTTCCGGATTTCTCTCTCACCATGTCCGCCTGCGAGCTCTCATCCATGACCGTGAGGGATTTGCCCCCTCCCTCACGCCCGTTGAAGCTCAAGCTCAAGGTCGCCTCTCCTGACTCGGCAGCCAGTGAGCTTCATGTCCGAACATGCTCCCTGCGCCACAGCCTGGCTGATTGCGGGTTCCCGGTGGGCGGGGGCTACCTCGATGCGGACGACAACTTGGTGGAAAAAGGTCCTGGTGCAAATTACGTCCGCTGGACTGAGGCCCTGCCGTTCCAGCACGTATCCAAAATCGCAGACATCATTGAGAATACCTTGTGGCGGTTGAGGCCCTGGGTCCTCCTCCTCCTCCTCCCTCCTCCCTCCTCCCTCCTCCCTCCACCTCATCATCCTCATCATCCTCATCATCATCATCCTCATCATCCTCATCATCATCATCATCCTCATCATCCTCATCATCCTCATCATCCTCATCATCCTCATCATCCTCATCGTCCTCATCCTCATCCTCCTCCTCCTCCAGTTTTGGTTGTCACGTGCCTTCGCAATGGGGTTCAACATGGTTGACGACACGGGCTGCATCGGAAGACGTCTGCGGCTCCACGGATCTCTGACGTGGATTATGGACCGCGGTTGATTTCAGTTTTCCAATAGGTTTCTTCTTTCCGCTCGATTTGTATCTTTTTTTCTGGTGTTACATTCAGCATTCACGCAGGCTCCTGCGCTGCACCGCCGCCGGCTACCAGCCTCGCTGGCCGATTTTTAATTTTCCTTGGCTTGTCTATTGTTCTTGCTGCCGTACTTTCCTCTCCGTGGTCTCTACGCTTTTCGTTTCGTCTCCACTACTTCCATTACATGATACACGTTAGTTGTGCTTGCTATTGTTTCTTCTTTTGCAACCATACATGCTGCACCATTTTCGTTCTTTCTGACTGTCCTCGCCGCCCCCCTAATCTTTCGTTCGTTTCTTTCTTCTTCTACCTTGTTTACTTTTTTACATCCCCTGCACGATTGCGTATCTTATTTGAGTTCCTCTGCTAGCTCCAGGTGCCTGCGCCCTGCAGCTCACACTGTGACGGTGGAAAAAAATGGGCGCGTTGCTTTTACCGGGCTCCGCTTCGTTTTTTTCCCTTGCCCCCTCCCCTCCGTGTAAGACAAGATATGAGCGTAAGCAAAACCTGTGCGCGCGTAAGCAAAACGTAATGGCGTAAGCATTTCCTTATTTGGTGCCAGGATGTAAGACATGTAGAACATGGCTCATTTGTCATTATTATCAATTTGAACATCACAACATATAACGCTTAAGCATCTTCCCATCATAACTATAATCCCAAGTATCATGCCAACTATCCCATTAATCATTATTCAAAATTAGTGACTAGTGGGATCTAGTGGGTTTGAAATCCCATGATATTCCCATTATGCAATCCCATTTAATAACAATTTTTTAATCATGATTAATCGCATTTTTAATGATGCCAATATATTCCCATGATATTCCTGTTATGCTAATGATTATCCCAATTATACCCAAGTATATTTCCATGATGAGTCCCATTGTATCCCCACTATATATAATTTATACAATCCCATTAGACTCCTAATGCTAGTTATCCCAATATATTCTCAATATATTCCCATGATAGCATTATTAGTCTAATGGGAATATACTGGGAATATTTTGAGAGAATCATTATTGGGATAATATCCCCTAGTTATTCCCAGTTTTTTGAAAATATATATATACCCATAACTATATAATTCCAGAGATATCTTCCCATTAACCAATCATCCCCAGCGCTCCAGCCCTCCCCTCGCTTGCCCGTCTCAAGGTTGGTGTTGGAGCCCGGCATCGTCCGGGTGATGCACGAGGCAGGCGTCAACGTGGACGTCTTGGCCGAGATGTTGGACCTGGTCTGGGAGGATCCGGCGAGGGGATCGGAGGATAGATAGCAGCTATAGTTGGATGAGATATGTTGAGATGTGTTCGATGATTTTGTTCCAAAAACATATATGTAAAATCAACACGCAGTTTTTTGACGTTCATATTTTTGGTGGTTGGTTGCATGCATGTCATCCCCTTTCTTGCGCGTCTTTCCATGATTTTTGATCCTGGTGAACGGTGAAACCCACAGGATGCGGCGAAGAGTACGCAGAAAATCACCTTCACCGAACTGGTGAACATGGTCCTGGGCATGCGAGGCGTGGCGTCACCACCTTTCCAGACCAAACATGCGCCGAATTCGTCAGGGCAATATATACAAACGATATCAAACGATGCAGAAGTCAAGAGCGAATTGAGGAAATTTAAATTGCTAAACAAATTCAACAACAGTGATACCAAACCTACTATCATTTTCCATATCATTAACCATACTCGGAAGTATCAAACCTACAGTCTCACAGAAGAATACGAGGCCTTCCTGCAGTGATGGGCCATGCCATCACTTCTGGATGACACAGCATTTCGCTGGTGGATAGCGCCAGCTAGGAACATTAATCATTTATGATCCCAGACCCCAGTTATAATGCAACTCGTATATAAATGTATATATATAATATAATATAATATAATATAATACAATATAATATAATATAATATAATATATATAATATACCTGGAGCTTCAAAAGTACACTAATTTCTGCTCGAGCAAATTTCTGCTCGAGGGACCCAAATCTGCTCGTCTTACCAATTTCTGCTCGAGGTACAGCTAGATTTGACAAGAACCACTTTTCAACTGTGCGCTCGTTTGCGGGAAATTGCGCTCGTTGTGCGGTCTGTTTTTTTTGAATCAGCGACAGGCAGTGAAAACTCAAGAAGTGCTCGTTTGGCAAATTTCTGCTCGTGATGGAAAAATGCGCTCGATTTGCCAAAAACATATACGAACAAGCAAACAACCAGAAACTAATGCTCGTTTGAAGATCAAGGTATATATATATATTATATATAAATTTCTATATATGTATGTATATATATATATATATACAACTTATAAAACTGGCAATGGCACAGCTGCAAGAAGAAGGGTCCCAAAACGTTCGTTTGCCCCACGGAGGCTCAAACCCCGCGACGGTGAAAGATTGCAAGGAACAAATTCGCATCTTGACGATGGATTTTTGGATGGGTCAAAGCACCGGGGCTATGCAGATCGAGGGATGAATATCCATGAGCAGCCTCTGTTGGGACCCTTATTTGCTATGGTGAATTAATTATATTAATTGCTGGAACTCTCCAAAGCACGTCTCGGCTTTGGCACTCTCTCGTACATTGTTGAGTTGGCACCCCACATTTGAGTTTCTATCTTGACTTTCGCAGAGTATGTGCCTTCCGATTCTTCAACGATGTGTCTGTGCTAATTTTTCATTGGCACTTGATAAAGATGAGACGGATAATCACTAATTACTGCTTATTGATGATCTCCTATTGATTTTTGTGCAGTTGGCTCAGCCACCCACGTGAGGTGTCACCAACTCGCTCATCAAGCGATGCTTCATGGAGCTTTACGACGAACTCGATGAAAAGGTGCAGCAGATTCGGACCGAAATCCAGCCTCCTGGACAGCAACTGTGCGTCGGGAGGTGCTGGTGTAAGCCTTGTGGGTGGTTCTCCTGGGGTTCTAAAGCCTACTTACGATGGAGCCACCAAGTCATTTAAACATATTATTCTGGTTGGTGGTTTGGAACATGAATTTTATGACTTTCCATATGTTGGGAATGTCATCATCCCAACAGGGGGTAGGTATACCACCAACCAGTATTAGATTGGACCGTCCCAAAGTTCAACCCTCAAGTCCCGCTTGGTCAAGATGAAATTCAGCGTGCTGCTGGATTGGCAATTCTCTATGAATCGCTTGCATGTTGATTTTGGTTCGACGTGTAAGCATTTGATGGTAGGTAGAAACATGTGCAAACTGCAAATCCTGCATGTGTTTCTTGCAGGTTTGTGAAAGTCCAGCCCAGCAATGGTTAGCAGAAGTAACCCATTTCCAACATATTTCAGCTAAAGGTCTGATGCCTTTAGTTGGGTATTTCCTGAAATCGCCACCTATCCCAGAATTCTTCCCATCTGGAATTTCTTTGCACGACACCCTACACACCATTACAAGCCTATATCCCGGAAATCGTTGGGCAAAATCCACAGGAACCCCCGATATTTTCAGATCATTTAAGGCTTACCCTCTGGTAAACTACCAGTCAGTTTGCGAACTTGAACATATTTGAAGCCATGGCCCAGTCGAAATAGTAGATTTTTCCATATTTTTCCCATCCAAAAATCGTAGTGATTTTCCAGTTCACAAACTGTAAACGTTTACCAGGCCGGGTAAGGGGGTCTTCCCCATCCGATGAGTCCATCAGTTTCCCAGGAATAGCCTGGATAACGATCTGGACTTCGAAGGTTCGCGATGCGTGGGACGCGATGCCGTTGTGGGACGTACCTTAGGGAGGGGAACATCTGACATGACATGTCATTTATTTGTGACCTGAAAAACTGGTTGAAAGAAATAGCTCTAACTTCTATATTTCTAAAGCTATGCATATCTGGCTGACAACCTCAATGAGTTTCAAACATGACTAGCTGGGAGATTGCCGAACGAAATGACGATGATTTCGCTGGGGAAATCATCGAACTCAATGGTCGTATGGCTTTCCGGCAAGCCATGTTTGATTTCCACGGTTCAGGCCGGGTTCAACTGGAAACATGGTTTTTCCATGTTTTTTCTGGTTGACTTTTCCGGGAAAGTGATAGCTTCCCTCCCAGAGAGAATAACTTCTCAGGTTCCACATTACCAACATTGGTTGAAACCTCCATCCAATACTTGGAAAGCAATTTGCAGTAGGCAACTAGATGACCTTGACATATATGTTCCAATTTCCAGGTTTTTGACACATCCTGACATCTATTTTTTAAATTTCCAGGTTTTGCAACTGTTAAAACGTTGGAATCTCTGGAAGCCCGGCATCTAAAACGTTGGCGTCACAGGAGACTTCAGCTGGGATGGGGAGCACACACCCAAGGATGGCGATGAGACGGAAGCCTGGAAAGTGTTCCTGCGAGCTTACCCTCTGGTAATTTAACATAGCTATGGAAAATCACCATTTTTAATGGGTAAATCCACTATTTCGACTGGGCCATTTTCAATAGCTTTTTGTATGTTTAGCAGAGGGAAATATGGCAATCTTCCATGATCTTCCAATTTCTTGGTGATTTCACATCTGGCATCATCTGGCATTCTTGCCAAAAGTATCCAAAAGTGCTATTGGATAAAATCAAATCATATAAAGATTCCATCTATGCCAGTGAGACGAACAGCACCTACAAAGCGGCGCTCATTTTTTTTGTGAAAAACTTCCAAGTGCCTGTGATATCCTCTATATCTGGTTTCAAAGATGTAACGCAAATCAATGGCAAATTGCTTCATGGTTGGGATGATAATTCCGACAGAATTCATCACAATTCATCACAATTCACATCTGATGCCATTTTCAGATAGCTTGAAGCCAGTCATTCAACTGAATCCCCGTCCTGTTTCAAGTTTCGCGGCTTCCCCTCACCCAAGGCCCACCCCGAATAAAAAACACCTTGGGCGAATCGGGGCTTCCTGGTTGGTGATTTGGAACATGAATTTTATTTTCCATAAGGGAGAATCCTTCCCATTGACTAATATTTTTCAAGATGGGGAAAACCACCAACCAGATCAATATGGAGGTTTCCTAAGCCATGTGGGTAACCCAAAATGGATGGTCTACAATGTTTACAACGGAAGCCCGACATTAAAATATGGTTTATTTACGGCCTAACCCCCATAGGAATCCTCCATATACTGTTGCCAATCTATGAATGGATGATTTCAGGGCAGCCCCATTTTAGGACACTTCCCTATTGTAATATATTGTACCCTCTGGTAATTTAACATAGCTATTGAAAATTGCCATAGAAATAGTGAGTTTTCCCATTAAACATGGTGATTTTCCGTAGTTATGTGACAGTTTACCAGAGGGTAATGACATCTTTGCCTTTTGCTTGGTGGGACCCGTCTCTCCGACGGGTCGACCTTTTTTGAGGCGTGGTTTAATTCTCGTCTCAGGAAGCGGTTGACGAAGAAGAACCGGATGATCAAGACCCGGATGTGCCTGAAACTTTGCAGCTTGGAAAGCTTGAATGATGATGACCCATCGAATCGATGACTCGATGACCCTTTTTTTTGGAGGATGGGAAAATGAATGAACATCATGGAGACCCAAAGGTTAAATTTGGGAACATCCCAACTTTTGATGGGAGGATATATAGGGTATAATGATGTATAATTATATAATATTATATAACTAAATGGATTATGAACCTATTTTTGCCACTGTGTTCTTTTTAACCCGCGGGACATATAGCCACAAGTATGACACTGAAATATAAATCAATCATCCATATTATATTCAATACAATCTTAATTATCTTAAGTGGATAAATCATATGGAAGGATCCGCTAAAAATGCTGGTGAATCATCCTCTTTGCAGATGCTTTAATGGCTATGATTACCGGAGGGTATCCATTCGAGATCATATGAGATCATATGAGACCATCTCCAACATTAGGTGTCAACATCCATCATCCAAAGTACATCAAAAAGAGTTATTCAACATCCATATTCATTCACTTTGAATTCTTGATTTGGAATATCTAGATTGAACATCTTAAATCTTCCCATTTTTGGTACATCTAGAAATGTGGTATATCTATGGTAAATCTATAGTTATATATCTAGGTATATTCCATCATGTTTCTATTGGTAAATTTCCACATTTCAGAACTTCCACATCCACCTGGCTTCCGAACGGCTGGGCCCAGCCGAGGCGCGAATCCGTGGTCAGGTCCGTGGGGCAGTGAATCATGGCGCAGATTTTCCCATTGTTTCTTAGCCATTGATTTGGGAAAACCCATGGATTTTTCTCATGGATTTTTCCCAGCCACGTTTGAAGCCGGAAGATCCGTCCCTTGAAATCTAGCCCAGAGCGCTTCGCTGGATCCAAAAATGCTACGACCGGTAGAGGGTTGTCTCAAAATACGACATGTCGCCACGGATTTTGGGCCGTAAATTGTGCGGTGAACATGGTGAATGATGATGATCAATTTATGAGAAATCAAATGAAACCACCTGATTGTACGTATAATTACTGGTTGGTGGTTTGGAACCATGGAATTTTATGACTTTCCATATATTGGGAATGTCATCATCCCAACGGACCAAATCCATCATTTTTATTCATTTTTCAGAGGGGTTGGTTGAAACATGTTGAAACCACCAACCAGATCACTATTATGACAAAAATCACTATGAGTCACTATCAATCACTATTAACCACCACTAATCACTATTAATCCCACTATTATGTCAATATTTTCCGGCGTTTCAATAGCGAAAAAGATCTGGAATGTTGATGGGCCGAGGGATTTTGGAGGTTCCTGGGTGTCGCGGCATATCACCACATGGTGTCGCGCAGCATGTCGACGTCGAAGGATCTTTCCACCTTGGTTCTATTGAATATTGTATTGATTAAACGCACAAACATATACTCACACATACATATAAATAATATATAATAATAATAATAATTATTATTATATATATATATAATTGTGCACAAAATACAATATTATATTGTTTTAAAAATATCATAGAATTTAAAATAATATGATATGGTATAATTTAATATAGTTTAATATTATATAATTTAACATAATAATTAGAATACAATATAATATAATATATTTGTTGATACATACGAAAACACAAGCCCTAACTCTCAATCCAATATTGGGAGAAATTCGCTACAGTCAAATGCTGCCGTGGGAGCCTTCGGAATGCCAACCCTTGGTTGCCATGTCTCACCGTTTTCATCACCCGCTGCTCGAGCCAAGCCAAAGGAGTGGTGAGAAAGACGAGCCCGACTTGGGGCGGGTTCTTCAATGGGGGCTCCAAGCGGAAATCATAGAATTTGCCCTGGAACATATGGTGTTAAATGATGTTGAATGTTATTATTATAATGTTTATTCTTCATTTTAGACTGAATTTTAGGGTGATTACTTATTTTGATATTTTTGTTCTTGATTGGTTGGTAGTTTTTTGAACAGGACATCACGGGCTTTACCAGTTTACCATGTGCTTTACAGAAGGTGCCCTGGAGTTCTGCGATTTTTTGCCGTTGAAACAATCCATTGAGTTTCTGGATGATTTCTGGATGATTTCTGTCTCCAATTTTGTTTTTTTTATGTTCCCCATCCTCCCAAGATCAACGAACAGCCCCACATAGCCCCATCTTTATGCCCCCCAAATATAGGTGATGGAGCCAAAAAGGGTCAGAACATTGACCAAACAAAACGCTGAGCCGCTGAGCCTTGGTGGGTTTACCACCCAGCAAAAACCTACCTGGTTGATGTTCAGCATTTTTTGTTTGATAAACCATGTCAACCCTTTTTTTTTGATGATCTCCGGTTGCTGACGACGTTTTTCACGCAGTTTCAGTGCCAGGTCTCAGTTTTTGCACCCATGGGTGAAGGTTTTTACGACGCGGCATGCTGGGACACCCAGCGGCCATTGTTCATGTCGCATCGCCATGGAACATGGATTACATGGCCCATTTAGATTATTTAGGTTGATGATAATTCGCAATTTAGATTCATTTAGGTAGCAATTTCGCGAAAGTTCTGACTTTCAAATGAATCTAAATGAGCATTTTCCAATTGAATGCCTGGTAATTGCCACTAAATTAGCCATGTTAAAAAAAACAAACAGATTTTCCACAGGCATCTGGAAGAACCGTGGATCGGCGTCGGCTGAGGTCCCGAAGATGCCATGCCAGGAGCCAAGGAGATCCAAGGATGGCCGAACGGTAGTGGCGATGATGGGATGGGAGTTTGTGAGAAAATCCGGGAAGATAATGATCTGAATGTACCCTCTGGTAAACTAACATAGCTATTGAAAATGGCCCAGTCGAAATAGTGGATTTTCCCATAAAAAATGGTGATTTTCCATAGCTATGTTAAATTACCAGAGGGTATCTGAATCATCTTCCGATCTCATTCTTCAAAGTCCTCAAATCCTTTGATTCATTTCGGCAGTGTGGGACACTGAGGTTAGAACTTCCCCCCCAACCGCTGCCTGTGCAGCTTGGCTCGGTTTGAGTACAGAATAGTACATCGAGTTTTGGGCACGAGGAAAATGGTGTCTGAAGCATGGCCTCTGTGGGTCCAAGCGTGTCTCATAATGTCATTCGGTGAATCAATGAAGGTGCCCGAACCACTGCCGAAACAGCTGACTAGTTGCTACATAACGATCATCCCTGATTTCAAAATTGGTAACTTCAAGAATCTTCAATTTTTGGATATTTTTCCTTCTTGCCGATCCTTGGGAGGTTGCTGTTGTTGTTGTTGTTGTTGTCGCTGTTGTTCCCAAGCCGAGACCTAACATGGCCAACATGGCCAGCATGGCCAACATCGCGCCCCGGCGGGAATGGCTATGGGATCAGAAAGAACGTCGTTTGAAAGCACGAATGCCAGGCGTCATGTGCATCAAAGAGTTTAATTTATTTTATTATAATTGATTATATATATATATAATGTGCGCGCCCATGTGTGTATATATTTGCACGCACACACACAGCTATGTGTCCTGGTGTCCTGAATTTGTTGACCAACTTCATGGGGTAAATCTGAAAAATTCTTGGCCAACCCTTTGGAGGAACAACATGCCTTCATTGTCGGGTCACTTGGGGGAGTTTGCGGCTGGAAAAGGCATCATTGTTGGAATGAATGGATACGATATGTTTAGGTTTAGACTGTTTAGATGGATTTTCGTTGGGTTTTACAACGCTTTTATCCACCTCCGAACTTTTATGAGCTGGATAGCCACACCAGTCCGACAAGTTGAATCCGGTCCTCAGTCCATTCTGGGTCAACCTTGGTTAGATAGCTTTAATCTGCTATCAAAGCGCTAAAGATTAAAGCAAAGATTAGAGCACTAAAGTACTAGTTATCAAAGATTAAAGTATGATAAAGCACTAAAGATCAAAGCTTTACTAGCAAAGATTAAAATGTACTAACCAGCTAAAAAAATGAGATTTGACGGGAATCGAAGATTGGCAATGCATCACAGCGTATCTCCTGCATCGACCTCCTCAAGTGCGTGAGGGCGTCTCTGCAGCCCGCCGCCCCGGGCGACAGTGGGTGGTGGCTGAAGAGAGGCGCGGCGGGCTCCGATGTTGCCGCAACAGATGGCGGTTTAAAACACCGATGATGGCGGTTTAAAACCCAGTATATCTATTATATATATAATATATATAATATGTGTGTACATCTGTGTGTATACATATATAATATATACCTACATCTATTTGCATATGCTGCATAGATGATTATAGATGTTACACTTACAATCAAAGCAAATATGATGTATGCATATGACAGTATATGACATCATATGACTACACGTGGGGTTTTGCCATGTATATAGTTTTACCATGCATATAGTATGCCATCTGCAAGTGTGTTTTGAAACATGGCTAGTTCTCTTCAGTTCACCACATGGATCATCCAAGTATTGCATTTTTTTTTTGCGCGCCATTCACATACCCACTGGATCCCAGTGGAAGAGAACTCCAAGTCTCGTACGTTGGATTTGTTGGTTCTTATCTGCCTCAACTGTCTTCGAAGCACGCAGCCAGCATACCTGGCATACCCCATGTGCTCCATGCACAAAGGCATCCTGACGAGACGGTAAAGGGTGAGGAGTTCATGTCCTCTGAGAGTTTGTTGGGCAAGTGGGTCGACTCGCAGGCCTAGTGGGGCAGTGAAGGGGTGGTGAATTTATGGGTGAAGTTAGAGTGACTTGGAATATGTGCCCGGCCACACCAGCAATATATTTTAGAGTATCTTAGCAATGGTGTCCTTAAACTTCCCAGAGGTAATGCCAGGAGGGATTGTTAGTTGGAGATATATTTGGAAATATGAAGGGAAGAAATCCTCAGCCTTTGCTTGTCCTAGAGGCCCCTAATTTTGGAAATTCAGGCGTTTTCATGCTGGTTTACATATACATTCGGACAGTAATCTCCACACATATGCTATTTTAGGGGTGGGGCACACCACAAGCATCCACATGCTAGATCCTCAAACAACAAGAAAACTACCTTGGGGCAAATGGACTACCTACTACTCGTGCAGGCCAAAAAACATTAAGAGAAGCTGGAATGATGATGTTTTGCGATGAGTTTACCTGGATGTCTCAGAATAAACTCTGGGAAATCTAAGCCCTTCTCTGTTCTATCAAACATGACAGGACGGTACACCTTTTCGGATTTCCATTGCTTGCGTTGCTTCCAGCAGAACTTCTGCGGCCTGAAGAATAGTGCGTCGAGATGAGGTCTAGATCTCCCGGGGCACGGCAATCCGTGTTTGAACGATGCAAGACGTGCCGGGTGCGAGGTTTGACCTTCGCGTTTTCAGTGAGGAGGATGCCCGCAATACAGTGTTTGTAGAGTGGTTATATCTAGTCATGACTGTAGCTGTTCATTTGGGAGGGTTATATTTATATAATGTTGTATATCTTACAGTTTCATACGCTTCCCAGTACTATGGTTTCAAGCACCCATCTTTGAACATGTTTGGAAGTCTATTCCATGTTTCATAGGCTTCCCAGTCTTGTGGTTTCAAACTCCCCACCAAACAAACTCCCATAATCTATAGTTGAACATGTTTGCTTCTATTCCCGTAAGACGACAAAAAGAGGATTGTTTTTTGCCTGTGAAATTCCCATGAAAAACATTTCGACAGATGACGCAGCTAGGGTCATTCGATCCATGTGCTGTCCGCTGATGCCTACAATGTGAGATTGCTGGGAGCCTCAGGAAATTTGGTATTACCCGAGCTGTGGCATCTGTGGCTGCTAAACTCCTGTTATACTATTCAAATCTATTCAATAGATTGGGGATTATCGCAAACCATTATGGAAAATCTTACAATCCAATGAGCAGGGAGCATTGCCCAGTTGAATGTGGAATATAGGCAAAAAATTGCCTAGGCTGCCTAGACATTGTAAACCAAGTATTCACAATCCTCTAGCAAACAACTTCAACTGGCAAGAGGCTCCCATTCTCGGGGCTTCCGGGGCAATCCCATTCAAAAATGAGGCCGCGGGAACAGAGGGAGCCTCGGAGCATATGTGGGAAATGATCTTGCTATTTGGGACTAGCATGGGACATTTTAATACATTTTGTTGGTATATATATATATTTCCAATGACTGACTGTCTACATTGATTTCTCGCATTCGGGCTTTTGAATCCCTTGAGTTCGCAAACATGAGTGTGTTTGTTCAGGTTCCAGGCTGCCCAAAAGAAGCTAGTCTATTCAGCCAAGCAAATTCCTGTGCATGAAGCTCCTATACAGGAAATGCCCATGTTTGGTTCGGACACAATGCAGATCAACCTTGTAAAGAACCAACATGTGGTTCCCCTAATCCTAACCATCATCCAAACCATCATCCTGTCCAAACAACCAACAGAACCTGCAACATATGTCATCCCGACCATCCTTCTATGTAAACCACCAACATATGTCGCCCCGTATTTCCCCACAATTTTAATGCTACATGTCAATGTTACATATTCTATCATTTTTGGGTGCAAACTGTGGGGTTGCTATATATATAACACACATGCGGTATAATTATAAACACACACACACACACATATATATATATATATATTTATCGAAGGAAGTTTAGAAGTCAAACTTCCGACAATATGGACAGATGAAAAGCAGAGCAGGGAAGAGGCAGAGAGAAGAGAAAGATTAGAAGAAAGAAGAGTAGAAGAGAAAGAGTCAGAAGAAAGAAGATGCAGATGCGCGAAAAGGTAGGAAAGTCGCAAAACACGGTGTTTTTCCAATGATATGTGGCTCCGGAGGGTCGAAAAGTAGGCTCGCTAAAGCGGCGGGTGCGGAGCCAGCTGGCCAGATGAGAGATGAAAAATTGCACGCCGTTGTGGCGCGAAGCACATTTCGAAGTCAAAATGTACAAAACACCAGGGGTTCGGACCACTTTTGGAAGTTGAGATGTCGCAAAAGTGCACGCCGTTGTGGCGCGAAGCACATTTCGAAGTCAAAATGTACAAAACACCAGGGGTTCGGACCACTTTTGGAAGTTGCGACGTTGAAAAAGTGCACGCCGTTGTGGCGCGAAGCACATTTCCAAGTCAAAATGTACAAAGCACCAGGGGTTCGGACCTTTTTTGGAAGTTGAGATGTCGCAAAAGTGCACGCCGTTGTGGCGCGAAGGACATTTCGAAGTCAAAATGTACAAAGCACCAGGGGTTCGGACCACTTTTGGAAGTTGCGATGTTGAAAAAGTGCACGCCGTTGTGGCGCGAAGCACATTTCCAAGTCAAAATGTACAAAGCACCAGGGGTTCGGACCACTTTTGGAAGTTGAGATGTCGAAAAAGTGCACGACGTTGTGGCGCGAAGCAGATTTCCAAGTCAAAAGTGTTAAAAACTGACGGTCTCGGACCACTTTTGGAGGTTCAGATGTCGAAAAAGTGTCTAAAAAGTGCACGCCGTTGTGGCGCGAAGCACATTTCGAAGTCAAAAGTGTAAAAAACTGAGGGTTTTGAGCCTTTTTTGACGTGAAGATGTCGAAAAAGTAGACACTGATTAACTTAACTAACTTGACTAACTTAACTAACTTCACTAACTTAACTACCCTAACTTCGACGACAACAGCAACAGCAACAGCAACAGCAACAACAACAACAAACAAACAACACCAACCACAACAACTACAACTACAACAACTACAACTACAACAACTACACAGCAACAACAACTACAACTACAACTAGAACTACAACTACAACAACTACAACAACAACAACAACAACAGCAGCAACAACAACAACAACAGCAACAGCAACAACAACTACAACCACAACAACTACAACTACACAACAACTAGAACTAGAACTAGAACTACAACTACAACAACTACAGCTACAACAACGACAACAACAACAACAACAACTACAACTACAACTACAACCACAACAACTACAACAACAACAACGACGACGACGACGACTACTACTACTACAACAACAACAACAACAACTACTACTACTACACTACACAACAACTACAACCACACAACAACTACAACTACAACTACAAAACAACTACAGCTACAACTATATGACTGCAACTACACTACACTAATTACATTACACCACAACTACAACTCCACTACGCTACAACTACAACTACAGTTGCAGTACATCACACTACATCCAGCAGTTGTGGGTGAGGTGACCACTGCAACCATTGCAACCATTCCAGCCAACACAACTCCAACCACCTTTCGGTCAATCAGTGGCTTCGCTCTGCTATCCCTGATTCACAACAACGAATCTCTCCTATAGGTTTCCTATCTTTGAAACTTCCGCCACCGCCTTGTGCGGTACTACTGGTAACACACACATACACACACACACACATATATATATATAATATATTATTATACACCACATATGTGTTGTTTCACCATTGGTGTTTTCCATGATTTTCCATGGTTCGTTTTTGGTGTCCCTTTTTCTATCGCCGAGGCTGGCCACGCTGTCGAAAACCATGTGTCCAGATAAGCACCTGGCGCTGAAGCCGGTGAGGTCTTGGCCTTGGTTCGAGTTGATCAAGTTACGCTTCCGGCGCGGTTCGGGTCGGAGAGAAAAGCAAAAAAAAAGCCATGGTCAAGTTACATGGGCTTATTGGGAGAAATCATCTATACATGGGATTATCATTTTTTTTTGAAAAAGACTCTAATAAGTACTTAATTGGATCAGAATATGATAATCCCATTTATTGGATGATATGTATGGACATATGTAGTTTAATTTGATAATCCCAAAAATCTAGCCGGACATCTATAGTGCCAAATTGGATCAGAAAAACGGGTTGAATCTTCAAGATTTTTTTGGGGCAAACATGGGATGTACGGCGTACGGTATGGTCATCCCATTATAATAACATTTGATCACCATTCTCCTGATGGGCAAAGAAATCATGTAACTTGACCATGGCGTATGATAATATATGATTAATACAATTCTTAATTGTTGATCAATAAACTTTGTTGTTGAAAAATTGGGAAGTGGGGAGGTAACTAAAGTATAGACATTCTATAAACCAGCACGAAAATTGGAAACCCCATGAAGCCCCCCCTACTAGCAAACCAGCGGCTTGTTTGATCATGGGTGATAATTTAGCAATGACGAAGTTATCCATATTGATCTTTATTGTCGCTATCTTACCATTTGGCAACTATACCCCAAAATGGGTACTCCAGTAATCAAACATGACAAGCGGACATCCACTGACATCCACTGTAAATGGAGGTTTTGATGCGAACATCAGGTGTAAATGATGGGTTTTCCATTGCCATGTTTGATTACCACAGGGTAGCACAGTTCACATCCCAGCCAAGACTATTTTGCCAGCATCCATTTGTTGGGACAATGTCAGCACTGCTGGCTTTATTGTCATCGTGCAATCTTTTTAGGATCACTATGACAGCGTAATGAACTGAAAACCTAGGCATGAGTCAAGCACAAACCCAAATCTGCACAAAGACGTTCTACTTCAAGGATTTCCACAAATTCCACATGTCATTTTATCTAAATTATATCTGCTTCTTTTGGTTATTCTCCCTGTAACTTCAGTTGGTTCTTCCCAGAATTTCTGTGGCCCTCGGCTCCAGGTTGGGCGCGGGGTGGCAATGTGGCCATTCCATCTTGGACCCCTCCTGGACGGGCGCCGGAACGGCCGGAACGGCGGAGATGTGGCTGCAGGATGCACCAAAAATCTGGGTGAATGTTGGGTTGATGATGGTTTGACATGGGATTGGGATACAAAAGGGACAATATGTCTGGTTGGTAGTTTGGAACCATGGAATTTTATTTTCCATAGATTGGGAATGTCATCATCCCAACTGACGAGCATATTTTTCAGAGGGGTAGGGCTCAACCACCGACCAGATATATATCGAGGGAATGGCAGTGGTGGTGAAGATGGAGGGAACCATCCCGATTTTTTTCTGTTGTGATTTGAGAGTTATAGTATATATATAATATATCTGGTTGGTGGTTTCAAACATGGGTCAAACAAGTGGAGAAAAATCGAACATCCAATGTTTTGCTGGTTGGTGGTTTCAAACATGTTCTATTTTCCATCATATATGGGATAATCTTTCACATTGACTAATATTTTTCAAGATGGTTAAAACCACCAACCAGATATGATAGCATATATGTCTCAGATGGGTCAAGAATGAAAAACCACGACAACCACAGATTTTCGCCATGGTGAGATTTGTCTACTGTTCAACAACCCAATTTTAAGGACGACATCAATACATAACATCCATTCCATGGCCCCGTAATGGAAAATCCACCGGAAAAACGCTGGACGAATCCCAGGCGATTTCCCAAGTGGAGATGGAGAAATATATGGATTGGTCTCGGTTATCCACATTTTTTTTGGTGGAGATTGGTATGAATATCTCGTAATGAATCATTATATTATATATATATATAATGTGGGTAAAACAATGCCATAAACCATCCCCCAGTCATCACCATTCTTATAGGTGGGATTCCAACCATTCCCAGTCACCGGGTGATTTATGACACGCCGCCGCAGGAGCACATCATCCCAGCTTCACTGGGTGGTGACTTGGCATCGGTGCGACGTTTGTGCGACGTTTGTGCCAATTTATGGGTCAGGGATTCCCAGGGCAACCTAATTATAGGGATACCAATGAGATATGATATGATAAATCATCCATAAACCCTAGTATGGCATGTTGGTTTAATATACCCCCTGGTAAACTAACATGCAGTAGCTTTGGAAATCACCATCTTTTATAGGTAAATCAACTATAACTATATCTATAAATGAACAATGTGGGTAAAACAATGCCATAAACCCCCCATGAATGGGAATGGTTGGAATCCCACTAATAAGAATGGTGATGACTGGCGGATGGTAAACATGGCATTGTTTTACCCACATTATATGTTTTATGATGTTTTAGGGAAAAGCACCGGACGTACAGGAAGTTGATCTACAAACAGTGGATTGTCCATACTTTTGTGAGATTACCGGAAGGCGGAAGGAACCCTTACAAAAAAAAACTGCTCTACATCTCTAGACTAGTGGAAACCCTACATCTGCCAAAGGAGAAGACACGTGGAGAAATGGGTGGGTCTTCCATTTCTCGGTTTGGTGCACAGGAAGATCCCCAAGAAGGTTGATGTTGACCCCTGGGTTTGAAGGGACCAAAAGTAAAACATCCTAGTAGATTCCATGGATCAAATGATGAAATGGTGGGTTTTCCAAGGGGAAAATGAGAAAATCCTTTTCAGCGGATCCAGGTCAGACCCTGTCACTGGCACGGCATCAGCGGCAAAACTCTATCCCTGATTGGTGATCCGTGAGTTCAGTGTCAGTAAGTATAAGTGGACCACAACAGCAATATAACAGCCCTCATGAGTGGGATGTGATGCATCATTATACGTCATGATACATCATTATACATCATTATAATTGTACATATATATAGCTGTATACATCTATACATCTATGACATATAAATATAGGTAGATAGATAGATAGATAGATAAATAGGTAGGTAGGTAGGTAGATAGATAGATAGATAGATAGATGTACACACACACACACCGATATCCTGCGTATATATAATATACGCATCTAATATCTATAATACATCTATATCTACACTATTTTCATACCGCACCTAGGCCGGAGATGGTCGCGTCACTGTTTGGGTTCGACCTTCCAAGGCCAAGAAGGCGCCGGTTGGAAATGTTGGACGTGTTGCAAATATGGTGATTTTGATGGGATTTGATGGGATATAGCCAACCAATCAATATGATATTTGGATCAATATGGGACCTGATAGAAGTGCAAAGAAATCGAAATGGTGCACCTGGGTACATTGAAAGTGGTGAGAAAACTCTGCATGATGCGGGGAAATTCTGGGGATGGCTTGTTGAGACCTATGATGTTTCTGCCTTTGTTTCAGGAAGGATTTTGACATATAGCCACATGCAATTGAACATCCACGTTGATTAATGTTTAATTTCTCGAATCACGATATAAAAGTGGTAGTTCCATGGCGTGAGACGGAAAAGATGGAGATGCCCGCGGCGAACTGAGTCCACTGGACGTGGCTTCAGCAAGATTTCTGGTGGGCTCAGGGATTCAAAGTGTGAAGCCTTCAAGGTCTCAAGATATTCTCAAGTAGCAGCCCAGAGCAACCAACACTAAGTGTCACAATGACCCAGCACCAAACGCGGCAAATGATTATCAGCTGGTTGCTGGTTGGCATCTTCATCCTCAGACAGCCTCAGTGGCTAAAGCGGCTAATCTGGTCGTCGAATCGTTGGTTGGAGTAAATAATTCAATCAAAGGTCTGGGAAAAGGTTATCATTTGCCCGCTGTTAGTGGGATACATTCCAACTTTCAGTTTCTAAACACATGGTGTGAACTTCAACTTCCCACCTTATGATATCCTTAGTCCATGTTCCTCCACCTTAATCCTATCCCCCCATCATTTTAACCTTCCATTCATTTTTTGGACACCAATAATCAAGACATATTGATCCACATATGAATATATCAGATATGGATAGACATGTTTTCCTCCAAAAACAGGGCAGTTTTCCTCTTTCGGCCGCTAGTCGTATGCCTCTTTGGCTTTCTTTTTGCCTTAGCGGCGGTTCTTTTTTCGGGCGCCCACGGTGGTTCCCAACCGCTGCCAACCTTTATCAGCTGCTTCAGCTGGTTTTTTCCATATTTTGCCTTGTTGATAGATCCAGCTGCAGCCAGTAGCCAGCGATCAGTTGTACTGCATTGCTGGACTACTGGACTTTTCAGGAAATAGCAGGTGTAAATCAAGAAATTGCCAGAACCCTACTTCCAAAAACAGGGTATGCCACACAATTGCAGCTCCAATGTCGTTTTCACGGGCTGTTAACCATATTTTTTAAATATTTGTTTGGCATTTCAGATGCCCATGGGTGCCCCGTTTTCAGACACGTCCAAGGCGGAGCCCAAGGAGAAGGCCACGAAACACAGCTGAACATTTAGCTGGGTCGACTATAAAAATGTGTTTGGAGCAATTTATTGAGCATGTCTTTCTTTATAAATCTGTATAATATGTCTTCGTCGCAAAATTTTGCATCACCATTCATCGTGATTTCGACCGTGAACATGCTGATAAGCTATGAGAGAGATTTGGGGGGTTCCAAAATTTCACCACATGAAACCACAAAACGTAGCTGAAACATCGTGATTCACGGCGTCACCGGGACCACAGATGGAATGTCGTGTGCTTGATGCTACTGGCACTTTTTCAGACACGATTTCCAGGATTTTGATGTTCAAAATCACTATGTCCTAGTAGTTGAAGAAAAATAATGCGCCATTATTATTATTATCATTATCATTATTATCATTGTCATTAATGTTATCATCATTATTACTCTTCTGATCTATCGTCATGATTATCTTAATCAATATTTCTCCTCCCTTTTTGGTAAGGAATGCCCTTCAACATATGTTACGTGGTCGATGGCTTTTCCAAAAAATCGCCAGGATCAAAGCTGAGGAGAGGGTCAAGACATCGGGGGGATGTGCCCTGGTCCCCGTGTAAACAGATATACACACGTATATGTATATATATGATAGATAGACAGGTAGATTAGATTAGACTAGACTAGACTAGATTAGATAGATACATAGATAGATGGATAGATAGATGATCATCGGATGGATAGATAGATAAGATAGATAGATAGATAGATAGAAAGATAGATAGATAGATAGATAGATAGATATAGATAGATATAGATAGATATAGATAGATATAGATAGATATAGATAGATATAGATAGATATAGATAGATATAGATAGATATAGATAGATAGATGGATAGATAGATAGATAGATGGATAGATAGATATAGATAGATAGATATAGATAGATATAGATAGATATAGATAGATATAGATAGATATAGATAGATATAGATAGATAGATAGATATAGATAGATATAGATAGATATAGATAGATATAGATAGATATAGATAGATATAGATAGATATAGATAGATATAGATAGATATAGATAGATAGATAGATATAGATAGATATAGATAGATATAGATAGATATAGATAGATATAGATAGATATAGATAGATATAGATAGATATAGATAGATATAGATAGATATAGATAGATATAGATAGATATAGATAGATATAGATAGATATAGATAGATATAGATAGATATAGATAGATATAGATAGATATAGATAGATATAGATAGATATAGATAGATATAGATAGATATAGATAGATATAGATAGATATAGATAGATAGATAGATAGATATAGATAGATATAGATAGATATAGATAGATATAGATAGATATAGATAGATATAGATAGATAGATAGATACATAGATAGATAAATACATAGATAGATAAATACATAGATAGATAGATAGATGGATAGATAGATAGGTAGATAACAAAGAATCACGTAGAGACTATCATTTGGACACTAATATTATACATTACTCTACTGTAGCATCGTTTCAATTATTTTAACATGCAACATTACTATACATGGGCATAAATATGGTTCCTGAAATCATCAAAGGTGTTACTTAAGCGAGTCAACCCACTGGCGCGGCCGGAAACTCGCCGAAAACTCATTTTCCTGACTCTTTTCCCATGATTTCTTCTTTGGACCTAATGCATCTCAATCTTGGGAATCTCAATCGATGCCCTCCAACTGACATAGAGCTCTTCCAGCAGTCAGGACTTTGGCGAAAGTGACAACGGGTTGGAGAGCGCGAGTTGTGTCTTGAAATAGTTATTTTAAGTTAACTCTCAATCAGGGAGCAAGTCCCAGAGGTGGGAAATCCCACGGAGAAGCCTCATATTTGGTAGTAGAAACCTTGTTTCTGTATGTGCATATATGATTATATATATATATATATGGATTTTCCATGAAAAAATCATTCCAATTAACGAAACTGTCCTCTTTTTTGTTCATTCCTTGGTTTTCCAGCCAATATTTACTGGTAAGATCATGGTTGCTCTAGATTTTTCCTTAAATTCAACCAATCAACATTGTTGAAACCAAGGATGTTCCAGCTATTTCGAGACAGGTGAAGCGAGGCACTTTGCCGCGGCAAGCGAGGCTTGGAGCATCTGTTCGATCCAAGGATGAATGTGGAATTCCCAAATCAATTGAACAATCACCTAGGTCCCGGATTACCATCTGGTTATTTGATACATAGCCATGGTATAGATGGCCCATAGAAATAGATGGTTTACCTAGCTATAAAATGGTGGATCTTTCCATGGCTATGTTAGTCATAACCAGATGGTAACCCAGCTGGTTGGTTCAGCGGTTGCTTTCTGACATCAGATTCCAGTTTTGAGGTAGGCCCACTAGGAACATTAGATGAAGCAGCCATGGGATTGTTATGTAGTCCGTTGAACTTCGATCTAAGTTAGGAAAACAACTTCAAGCTTTAGATATCAATGCAAACCTAAAACATCCTAAAGCCTAACAAACCATGGAAACTTAATATTCAAATCTTGGGTCCTAGATTTGGAGTGGAACATGGGCCCAGCTATGGAGATTTGAAGTGATCCTATTGGATATGCGCCAATTTCATCCTTCTCTTCGATGGGATCAAGCTCCGTAAGGGGAGACACTTGTCCCGGAAAGTGCGATTTTCAAGCGAAGCACCCGGAGAAAATACTGGGGCCTTCGTATTTTGTGCAATGACCCTGTCCAAAGGACAGGAAGCAGTGTCAAGATTGAAGATTAGGAGAATATCACACTTGAAGAAACTGGAAGTATCCTGATATAATCAAACACGGCTAGCTAGAAAAACCATATACGTCTGCATGTAATTAAATGCTATAAAGCAAGCAATGTGTTAAGATTACCAGGAGGTATTTGCTTTGCAGTTCTTAATGTTTTTTGTTGAACATTTATTTTTGTTAAATGTTCCATCCTTCATGTGCCTAGTAGTAGCCTAAAATGAAGTGGCACAAGCGCCATCCATTCTGAGGTCGATCAGAAGACCCCTTCACAAAGTGGGCTTTGACGATTTCACGGTAAAACCAAAAAAAGGGTTGGTGGGTGGTTTGGAACATTTTATTTTTCCATATGTTGGGAATGTCATCATCCCAACTGACCAAATCATATTTTTCAAAGGGGTAGGTCAACCAGCAACCAGGGGTCTATTCTGATCTGATCAGTTGAGGGTTTCCCTATGATGAGGGTTTCACGATTTCCCTTTCACGCCCTTTCCCAGGAAGTGCCACAAAAAACTTCAAAATTCTGACACATTCTGACACCTGCGAAGTGGTCAGCGCCTTGTTCCTTTTGCATTTGAATCATCGGCCAAATTTTGCCAAACCCATGGCCGAAGTTGCACCGGCGTGCCGGAAACCGTTTCAGAAGGAGAACAAGACGTCCGATTTCAGACGCGTCGGCGCGTTCCGAGCAGATGTTCAATTGAGTAGCACCCACGAACCATAGTAGAAACATGTAAAATCATGATATCGAGAATCATGAAAGATTACAGCATATCGCATTTTTTGTCTAGACAATGAATGATAAACCATGGTAAGCCAATGTAAGCCATAATCACTGATGTTTCTTTCCCCTTCACTAGTTGGCAAACATCCTATTGAAGTATGGTGGACGGGGATTCGACGGGTTTCCGCATGTTTTTTTCTTTTTTCTCGGTGGGGTGGGGTTGTATTCGTTGTTTATATAAAATAAGTCGTTGAAGCCTGTCACTTCCGTTCACAATGTACTTTTTATATCTGTTTACATCTTTTTACTGTAATTATGTGCATATATGTATATTATATATATATATATACATAATATCAGTCAATCTACATCCTATCTAATCCCGTTATTTGCATTGTATCCTGCCACTTGCCTACAGTCTTTGGTAGAAGCATCATGAATCTCAAGGGAATCGCCGTGGGTTTTCCAGAGCTCCAAACGACCATCAACGACTTGAAAAAGTTAGATCAGGATACTGTGGTAAAGCCAATTCCATAAACTTCAAAAACCATCCTTATTGGGTTTACCACATTAATTCATATAAATTATATATGTATAATTATGTTTATATACAGGTATAATACATATATTATACATATATCTGGCTAAATTATAACGACCTCACTGATCTCCCGAACCCTGGAATCATGGTTAATAAGGGACATCATCCCCAAATGGCCCAACATTTCAGGTGAGTGAAATATATTAATTTACCCAGATATATTCCATGATAATAGAATGTCATAATATACCATATAAATCCATATAATATATTATATATTATACCTTGATTTAGAATCTCTCTCTCTCTATATATATGGTGTATATATATATATTCAGGATAATGTGGAAGTCAAAAGCCACCAAGCATCCCAGGCATCCCAGGCATCCCAGGCACTGCGGCGAGTCAATTCGCACCGTAACTGGGACATAGCCGATATAGCATGGATTATTATGCTATATCCCAAAATTGGCTGATGTAATGGTTACATATGGATATATATATATATATATATATGGATATATTTTGTTATATGGTTATACATATATATATATAACAAATTTATAACAGCCTCTTCCGATAGGGTTGTCTGATCATGTGCACCGCAGTCCAAGCTCTGCTCCTCAGTGGATTTGCCTGAAACAAATCGCCGAGGTGAACTATGGCTAACTCAGACGACATATCTGGAACGCGATACCAAGATATTTCTTGGATTTTCTTGGAACATCTGATTTACTGTACTGTAACATTTCTGGAGTATCAAATATCGACATCAAGATAAATCAAGTCTAACAAAAACGAGTTATTTGTTTCACATGGCATTACATATAGGTCATATAGGATAATTATAAAAAACAACCGCCGTGTGAATCAACGGCTGCAGTTGGGCGCCATGGCGTTGGAAGGAGTGACGGTGGTCTTCGAAGCGCCAGAAGCACCAGGTCGCAGGGGAAACCATCGAGGGGTGCCACAGTCGCAGGGGTTGGATGGGGTAGGAAGATTAGCCATGGATCCCATCTACAAAAACCCCAGTCATGTTAGCATTCATATACCAGCACCATGGATCCTATTATTAGGGGTATGTTTATGAATGTTGCATATTTTGCCCTATTTGGCTATTTAAACGGAGTCTGAACCAGTGAATAACTACTGGAGCTTAATTTACGGTTGACCAACCAGGTTTGGTAGCAGCAATCGGAAAACTGTTATATGTAGGTGAAGTCAGTCCTACGCCCATAAACAGTTTCGCAAAAAAAGCCTCTGGTTATTTGTTACATAGCCATGGTATAGATGGCCTATTTATAGATGGTTGACCGGTTGACCCATTAAAAATGGTGGATCTTTCCATGGCGAACTGTTAGTCATAACCAGATGGTAACCCAGCTGGTTGGTTCAGCGGTTGCTTTCTGACATCAGATTCCAGTTTTGAGGTAGGCCCACTAAGAACATTAGATGAAGCAGCCATGGGAACATTAGATGAACCAGATGGTACTCCTCTAAATGCTGTGGCGCTTTGGCCAAACTTCAGTTGATCCCGTAAGACACGTCAGAAACCAACGGCAAGAGCCAGAGCTCCCAGAGCTCCCAGCGGAGAAGATCGCTATCCGATAGCCCCATTTTCCAAGCCGCGAAGTTTACCCTCTGGTTATCCATGGAAAATTGCCCATTTATAGATGATTTTCCCAGCTAGAAACCTCCATTTATAAGGGATTTTCCATGGCCATGTTAAATAAGCAGATGGTACCTTTTTTTTAAACCTGAGGTAAACATACCAAAAATATGTGGACAACTGATGGTTTTTGATGGGGAAAATGACAATGATCGACATTTTTGGCGGGGTTTCCGCATCATTTGGTGGCAAAAAAGCCAATGAATTGCTCACCATCGCCTGGATTCTCTTCCAATCCCATCCCCTTAATATTAAACAGCCCCATTCTATGTTCCCAATGATGTGGAAATTCCATGGAAATTCCCAACAAAAAACCATGGTTTCTACAGGATGGGGCCCCCAAGATAGCTAAGTTGTTTAATAAGTGGCTTAACTATATAACGAACTATAGAGCTAATGGTTTTTTTTCCCTCAACCAACTTATTACTGGGGGGCACCATCCTGTAGGGAGTGTTTAATATTACCCTCTGGTAAACTGTCCCATAACTATGGAACATCACCATTTAGAATGGGTAAATTCACTATTTCTATAGCAATTTTCAATAGCAAACTGTTAGTTTAACAGAGGGTAAATCCCATTAATATCCCATTGAATCACTATAAAATCCCATTGAATCACTATAAAATCCCATTAAAAATCACTATAAATCCCATTCAAATACCATTAATATTAGGGGAGGGGATTATATCAGCCAAGCCATGGCCCGGAATCTTCCCAGTCGAGAGCATGGATGAATCGAGCCCACCAGAGATGCTCCAGGCGGCGCCTGGTGGGACTGGTGATCCAAAAAGGAAACTCGTCATTGAGAAATTGTCCTGAAAATCTGTATGGCTCATAAAGGCAGGTGTTCTTTCTCACTTTTTTAATAACTTTTTTCTGAAACCTGTATATGTTTTTGTATGTTTTTCGTATATTCTTCCAGCGTTTTAGACAAATTTGCCCGTAAGAATGTGTGTTCCTCATGTCCGTTTTTGTGCATTCATGTGTTTTTTCTTACATTGGACCCAGCTGTTTTTGGTCGAGTTGGGTCTCACACGCATTTCCTTTGTGTGCTTTCCCACGAGTTTTTCTAGAGGAGCCCCAAGGTTTAACAACAATTGGATGCAAATCGCATAAGAAAAATCGAGCCCTTCTCCCAACCCTTGGTCGTTATTTGCTTGTGGTGAGACTTCAATATTTAATGCATGGGAATTCTCCCAGAACTGCAGCCTTGATAAAAAGTATCATGTTGTATGTCGTATCCCCACTTTACGTTCGCAAAACCCATATGTAATCATATATTATATCCTCCATATATGTATATTATATATATCCATATATTATACCCATATGTTTACATTCATATATTATATCCTCCACGGAGCGCTTGCCAGGAAAGCCGATCGGCGTCCTTCGAGACTCTTTACGGCCAGGCGCGCACCAGTGCGGGGTGCGCCGAAGATGTCGGCGTCGGCCGTGAAGATATGCAGAAAATCGGAAGGTTTCCAGGCCCCCAGAGGAAAAATATGGAAAAATATGATGAATTTTGACAGATTGCTGAGGAAAATGTATGAAAATGTGAGTGTTATCTACATCGATGTGGCTACATGAAAATGATGCCAGCCTGTATAGTTGTTCTCCCGTCTCCCAGCCCATTTTGTCAAAACAAAAGCGTATACATCATGTATACATCATGTACATCCACTCATGCTTACATTTATGATAGCGCATACTGTTCGGAACATGCCCAAAACAGAGGCCGTACCCATTTCATTTAATGGCAATCAATGGAATGATAGCTAAACATAATAAATCCTTTGGACTTGTGGGTGCCTAATTTTCAGGCGAACCCAATCATCAAGGGATGGATTTATGTGAAAACCTACCGGAAACATCCGGATACCATGGCTTCACACTGCTGAAATGTGTTGTAACTTGGTTGACTACGGGTTTTTGCAGGATGATTTAACTATATTTTGCTATATTTATAACTATTTTACTTTTTTTTTTAAAAAAAAAACTATGTGTAACTATAGTATTCATAGGGCGACAAACATCTACAAAGCAACAAACATCTCACAGGTGGCTCGCTTTCACCTTGCAAGGTCGCAGAACTCTTGCACAAGTTGCAGGCAGCGCACCTGCAGGACACACAGCTGCCGCTGCCTGACTGTGCCACAAGCAACTGTCGGTGGCCATGAAATGATGGTCTTAATCCAACATTACAAACAATATGATGTGGATTGATATATCCAATTAAATCCAAACATAATACAAGTGTGACAGAATCAGTACAATCAAACATGGTGGATCGATTAAACAATAGATCCACTATATCATACTATATCTTTTCATATATATATATATACATTTATATCTAATGTGTAATGAGATATCCTATTGATGATGGCAATGATGATGATGATGATGATGATGATGATGATGATGATGACGATGACGATGACGATGACGATGGCGTTTTTTTCTTTTAAACGGCGGTTCACGCATCGACATGTCATGTTTTTGAACTGGTTTCTATCGATATGTATATATATATATATATGCAGCGGCCAACGGAATGAACAGCATATTTCGATCATTTTGGGTCTGAGTTGTGTCTTGAGCACATGGAAACTCCATCAAAACGAAGTGGGCCCTGTCTTCTTGCTGTTTGCAACCTTGGTTTTTAAGCTCCGGGATTACTGTATTCAAATCATTTCAAGCACTACTAACAACGAACGTCATGTGAACTAATCAGAATGTGATGCACTGTCCCACAGGTCAACTCATGCAAACTTGATACTTCTTGCGCAAATGGAAGACCCCACTCTTGAGATAAGGTTATTGAAGAAGCGGTTGAAAGGTGTCTGAGGCGCCCCCTCTCCCAGCTACGCTGCACGGGAGTCACGCCATGCCCACACCCTCTCCTTCGCGCAGCCCGCAACTTCGCGGGCTATATACCATTAACATAATGTGTCCATGCGCTGCAGTATCAACTTCCCAACCGGTGTTGCTACCTGTGTGGTTGACATGATGTGAAAGTTTTCCATTGACATTCGTCCGCAACTTGGAAGTTTGCTAGCTTTAAACCTCCTTTTTAATATATTATATAGATATAGTTTTATTGAAAATAGTTAATCATGCATACATTTACACACACAGACACAAACAGATAGACAGACAGATAGATAGATGGATGGATAGATAGATAGATAGATAGATAGATAGATAGATAGATATATTACATATATATATATATATGTGTGTAGTCAAATGAATATCTTTGTGCGGGCCTGCTAGCACCAAAAAGGCCCCTGGGCAGGAAATCGGTCGTGCGGGTGCACCTAATGGCCCTGGTGGCCCTGGTGGCCCTGGTGGCCCCGGCCGGAAGAGGAATCTGAAGCCGAAAGGAACCAGAGCCTTAGATGCAGAAACGCACGCAGCAAGAAATGGCTATGGTGATGAATGGGAAAGCATCATCAACAAACAGATAAGGATACATTTTCATGGGGATTATATAGTTGTCACGATATTGAATATCATGGGAAATGGTGATTTAACCATTAGACATGGTGATCCAAGATATGAATTTGATATAATAGCTTTTGGCAATTTTACAGTTTCCTAGGGAAAACCAATATAAAAATTTACATCCCGAAAGCACTGGGATTTTGTGGTGATGAATGGGGTTTTCACCAACAAACATGGGGGATATTGATGGGAATGTATCCTCTGGTAATTTAACAGTGTCCTAAATCCTATGCATAAGCCATTTTCCATAGCTGCTACCAGAAGGTATCTCCATGGGTTTCGTTCGTTTTATGGGTCTCCATGAAACCTTCCAACGTTGTACCTCTGCCGAAAGCTTCAGGCTTTCCGGTAAAACTGATGTTTGCTTCAACCACTTTGTAGCTTGTCAATGGCAGGGGTTCAACCAGCGCCTACCCTCTGGTAATTTAACATAGCGAACTGGAAAATCACCATGCTATTAATGGGTAAATCCACTATAAATGGTAATTTTCCATAGTTATGTTTACCAGAGGGTAGTTCCACTATTTCGAACAATATTTCCATGGTAAATCCACTATTTCTATGGCCAGCTTTTAATAGCTTTTTGTATGTTTACCAGCGCCTACTGTATAACCATCCAACCTTGGATGGATCCAAAGCGGTTTTTCCCATCAAATTGGTGGCGAGCCGCTCGGCGAGCGTTTGGGTTGACCCGGGAATCCGTTGTGTGTTTTTATGATTTTGTTTGGGCATTCCAATTGGAAAAACATCTATAAATTGATATCAATTGTAGAAAATATAATTAGCCAGCACACGTAAATCTTTGATTCCGAGAGGGTCTCTTCAGTTTAAACAAGTGCCAGCGGTTTTTGAATTAGAAATGGATGGGGCCGCCAGCGATTTGCTGCACCTGGTGCACCCACCCTCGATACCTATCAGAGTTTGGATGACCATTTCCGGTAGGCCATGGTAGTCCAGGTGGGCTCCTTACACTTGCGGTGGCATTTTGCACCCTTGGGTGATTCATTTATACACCCTTGTTTTGGAGGAATGAATAGTCCTCAGGTGTGTCTTTTTTTTGGAAGGCGTTTTTCTATGCAGGCAACAGTCAACAAATAAATCAATGTGGGTGTTCATGTTTGTGTGTGTATATTGAGATTCAGAAACAACAAATCCAAATGCATACGCGAAGACAGGTACATTTGCGTGTGCAAAATCCTCAAACCCAAATAGTTCCTATTTGAAGGGTAAAACCTGCAAAACCTCAACCTCATAGGAAAGATGAAGCTGGCCGCTGCGCCACTGAGCGAGAGGGAAGAGGAAGTTAAGGAGAATCAGGACAGACCCGTCGTGCTGGAAAAGTGGTTGCGGATCCTTTGAAATGGGGATAACATTTCGGTAAGTCAACCCGTTCCGTGCGGGGAAAGCACGAAGCGCTCCATTCTCCAATCAGGAATATGTTTTGATGAAACATCCTACTCATTTGAAGACATCACCAATTAAGAGTAACGCAGCTTCCACAATGGATGCTGGGGTGCACTTATGCATCAGATGCAGGTACCATGCAGGTACCATGCCAAAATTCCAAGACATCTTGGAATCATCAGAGGATGATGGCATCCTGAGGAGATAGTGGTCATACGGATGGGCCATGGAGTCCCCTTTCTTAGGCTCAGCTGTAAAAACATTCCCACTATATTTTGAAGGCTCATCTGGTTGGTGGTTTGGAACATTTTTTATTTTCCCCAATAGTTGGGATGATGATCCAATCTGACGAATATTTTTCAGGGGGTTGAAACCACCAATTAGTCATGCGTGTTTCCGTTTTTTGGTTAGCGCTTGGGAGGTCATATCCCAACCTGGAACAGCCTGGAACTGAGTACTGAATCATGACAAGTCAATGATTTCCATATTGATGTGACCTCCCTGGCTGGTGAAACAACGTCCGGGTCCAGTCAATGCCGTCGTGGCCATGGCGCGCGAGAACCAGGACGTGATCAAAGTTCCAGAGCATTTGCACATAGGCCACGGCCGTGGGTTTTGGAGCCAGGGTCGCAAGGTACACGAGAGGAGTTCCGTACTGAAATCTCTGGAATGAAAATGTTCAAAAACAACAGACTACTATGTATACTTTAAGTGGTTTGGACGTACATCCTGCCTAGATATCCATAGATATCCCAATGACATTGCTGTAATGTATTCTTCATGGTCCACCATATCCATGTCCTATTGATCCTATTGTCATTTCTTCTTGCATTACAAAGCCCCTTGTTCTGGGCCGTGTCTGTAGGGTGATTGCTGTGATTGCCCTTCCCCCAGTTTTCCAATTGGGGTCACAAATAGCACGAACTCTACCCTCTGGTAAACTAACATAGTTATGGAAAATCACCATTTTTAATGGGTAATTCCACTATATATACATGGCCATTTTCAATAGCTATGTTAAATTACCAGAGGGTATCACATGTATCAAAATAGTCTGATCCGTTGAATTGACTGTTCAATAAACGAGTGGAACATTAGTGGAACCATCGGAGCAGGTCGGCCCTCGCATGATCCCATTAGCTTGGAGAAGCTGCACAACATGGCGCAGGAAGCCAACCATGAGTCCGGGGCCTCACCCATAGACATGGAAGAAATCACCCTGGAAGAAATCACCGTGGAATTATGGCAGGAAGTAAGTGGATTTCATGGATGTTTCTATTGGGAATAAGTGTGCCACAAAGGAAATTGTAGCAGAGTGTCTGAAGATGTTGTTGTAGGAACAGTAGGTTTGCGTGGATTTACGTGTATATTTCATACTCAGCAGTTGATAGAATTTGTAAGCGAACTCCTGCCTATCTCCTGCCTACCTTAGTTGCGAAGCAGGGGCGTCCAACTGGGATGTGTTGGTGAAGGGCTGCTCAATCAACAACTAGAATAGAGTTTGCATGAGTTTGCTAGAAAGTCTCTTTTTATGTCTCTAAAGTGAACCTTCCCACTCAAACTTATGAGACCAAATTTCGAAACAGTCGCTGGGATGGGTGGGTGCAGGTAGTGCATCGGAATCTTTACAGATCACTCCGCGATCTTTAGGCCGGACAGCGCCAGAGCCAGCACACTGTCCAGAATTTTGGTGGCAATTCCTGGGGGGAAATACCGCCACGAGACTTGGAGGACTTGGAAGGAGTTGGCTATGGAAAAAAAAAGCCTCTTCGCCACAGACCAACATTTAGTCAGAGCTATTGGGGTGTGGTTGATTTGTCTGGGAACAAACCCATGTCTGGGTGCATGCGCATGATAATTCCTGGCTTGACAGCAACCTTGCTGCAAGTGCTGCTTGGTACGAGGAACCACCCAAAAAAAGGTGGCCGACGTATTTCAGGGTTGTGAACACCCACCATTTAGTTCAATGATTTTCCTATAATAATGTCCCATTAAAACCTCCATTTAGTGCGTGGCTGATGGCCATAGCCTGGCTGTTTGGTTGGCAGGCTGTGGTCGTCTGTAATAAGAAGTCAGAACTATGTGTAATTATCCTTTCAAACCGCACAGCCGCAAGCACTATATAAGATTATATAAGTCTTTTAAGTAGTCTCACCATAGAACTTTTTCGGGATTTTTCAACATCGTCATTCTGAATGATTTCAATTTTCAATCATTATAAAATTGAACATTTTCATCATTTTTCATCAGCATCTTTCACAACCCCCGTGAAAAAAGGAGTACCACGGCGCCGTGGCCCAGGAATGTATTCGATGGTTTCTGAGAAGATCAGCCCCATCTACAAGAAGGTGGGCGGCCGCCATGAATTGTGGATATGTAAAGACCGCATGGTTTCCCCTCAGTTATGTTATTATTGTTATAATTATATATAGTTTTACTATGTTTCACTATTGTTCTTATTATGGTCGTTATTCTTGTTATCATTTTGATTATTATTGTTATATATATATATATATATACGCGCACATCATTGCTACACTTCATGGCTTTTTTCCTGGTTTTCCGCTCACTTCCACTTGAATTCAACGGCCGGCGGGACATTTTTCCGGCCAGGCCAAGTCGCTGGTTGGAATAGAGGAGGCAAGCCACACTGGTGAATGGTGAATGGTTGGTGGGTGCATTTCGAATCCGGGGATGGTTGGTGAATGGTTGGTGAATGGTTGGTGAATGGATCCCCTGAAACTTGGCAATCACCTTCCCGGTCACCTTCCTGACATGTCAGGCCATGCATCAGGATGCCTTTTATGGGTGCACCCCCATATCCTGCCTGGTCCATCAAAGCACAGGGACTTTCCCATTGATCAAAGTCAGACTGAAATTGGGAATGCTGTGTTTTTAATCAAACTTGCGGTACGTATATGTACATTACAGTATTGTCACACTTGTTTTTTTTTTCATGTTTTCTCCTGCGGCCAGGACAAGTCGCTGGTTGGAATACCGGAGCAGAAGGAGGCCTGGATGACTGGCTGTTTTGGCACCAATGACTATACCCTCCGGTAATTTAACATAACTATGGAAAATCACCATTTTCATCCATTTTCCAGCTGGGTAAATCCACTATTTCAATGGCAATTTTCAATAGCAAACTGTTAGTTTACCAGAGGGCACAAGCTCCCACAAAGCTTTACGGTCAGTGCAAGACATGGAACCCGTGAAGCGTGGAACAATTTCGTCAATTTTACCATTTTTTTCGGGATTTAAGTGATAAAACATTTTTTTGAATTCAAAAAAAATGTTCAGACATGAATTATGGGCTCTACACTGCGCAGAGGGGTGCTGAAGAGAGCGCTCTGCGTGGTGAGGCCTCCACCCAACGTGCCGAAAGGCCTGAGCCATTAACATCATAAATATCATCTACCTCTTTGCGTAGATCGGAAAAGAAGCTGCTCCACTGGCGTGATCCCTCTCTCATTTCGGCGGGTGAAAAAAAATAAGCCTCTACCAGAAAGGCTTACCACATAGCTTGGTGAATGGTTTGCGGTTCCACACCATATTTGGGATGCTAATCCCAAATTGGCTGCAAGCCAGTATGGGTCAAACCCGTGGAGAAAAAATCGAACATCCAATGTTTTGCTGGTTGGTGCTTTCAAACATTTTTCATTTTCCATAATATATGGGATAATCCTTTCCATTGACTAATATTTTTCAAGATGGTTAAAACCACCAACCATTTTGGTATAGATGATTTTGAGATATCCTGCGGATATTCGAATTATGAGACCTGTCAAAGTCCCAAAAAAATCGATAGGTGAACATGCAAGGGGTGTTTCTTCATGTGCCCATGAGGACAAGAGGGGTTTGACATGTGATCCGTATCCATGGTCCCTACCCTCTGGTAATTTAACATAGCTATTGAAAATGACCATTTATAGTGGATTTTCCCATTAAAAATGGTGATTTTCCATAGCTATGTTAAATTACCAGAGGGTATGTGCAAATCCCCTACTAAACCATGGTCAAAGATGGCAACGGAAAATACCACATTTTATAGTTCCCATATGCTCCATGTATGGAACATGTACCAACATTTGCCCTAAAAATCACCCAAATGTAGGTAGATATGGCATACATGGAGCATGTGGGGATGAGTGTTCCATTTTTAACGACTTTAGCCCTTTAGTTCGCATATATTTATAGGCGATTTGCCATGACTCCGTCCATGCACCCCAGGCACCAAAGACGAATGCCGATTCGCAGGACATGGGTTTGACCAGATTTCTGGGACCCCAACATGGCAAGATAGATAGGGAAAGTGATGAGAAGGCAAGATTCAAAGGGTGTATTTGTGATTATGTGTCAAAGGGTGTTTTAATCTCCGGATATATGGAAAGTATTGGAAAGTGATGAGAAATCAGTGGCCTGATGTCCCGGCTAAAGTACTGGAAACATATATGGTTTTAAGATGTTTTAACCACCACTTGTACCGGCTTCCTGTAGATTTTCCATCCGACCAAGTCTATAGGAGCAGTACATGTTACACCCCCATATCCTGCCGGGTCCATCAAAGCACAGGGACTTTCCCATTGATCAAAGTCAGACTGAAATTAGGAATGCAGTTTAAAAATATGTGATTTTTTAAAACTGCGCACACATTTATATATATATACATATAACGCAATGTATAGAGGGGTTTGGGAGATTATGCGTTATCTCAGTGTCATAAATCGAAGTGATTCGCTTTCCTCAAGTTTCACCTGCAGGCAACGCCTGGTTCAGTGCGATGATCCTCCAGGAACATTCACAAAAAAAAAGACATGTAGACCCTGCCAGGGCTAAGATTAGTTTCCAAAGGTCCAGTGATTTTCAGGGACGAACTGTGTGAATTTACCAGATGGTAGCCATATGCCCCATGGTGCTGGAATATTTACCTACAAAACTGGGTGATTTATGTTGGGCAAATGTTGGTAAATATTCCAGCACCATGGAGCATATGGGATTTATTCCATATGTGTGTAGATGGATTTACCCTCTAGTAAATTAACATAGCTATTGAAAATTGCCATATATAGTGGATTTACCCATAAAAAATAGTGATTTTCCATAGCTATGTTAGTTTACCAGAGGGTATAGCACCAACACATCCCGCACATTTTTGCAGCTTCTCTCGCGCACCCAGCGCGAGTGCAATCTGCAGGGATTACTGGTGACTGGGAACGGTTGGAATCCCAGCTATATGGTGATGACTGGTGGATGGTTTATGACATTGCTTTACCCATATTATTGTTCATGGTTACATCCTTATATATATAATATTATAATATAATGTATGATGTATAATGTAAAATATGTAATATATACTATATAATATATCCTATATAATATATAGCATATTTATACACACACATATATATATATATGTGTGTGTGTTATATATATATATATTATATCTGGTTAGCACACCGCTGCTTGGTTGTTTTACCCACAAAATCCTCCAAGGAGCCGAAGAAGCCCAAGACCTGGCGCGAAGACCTGGGCGACTTCGTCAACGGCTTCGGCTTTAAGGTGCCTTCTACCAGTGGATGGAAGAAATCCAAATCACCAGTTGATAGGTGGTAGACATCCCATTATTTATAGGGTTTCAGCCATCCTTTTGGTGGTGCAGGATTTCTGAAAAGCAATTCAATGGCCATTTCAGGAATCTGATAATCTAAATTGGAGGTACCTACCATTTTTTAAGGCCTATTTTTCAGGGCTATGTAAGGGAATATCCCCCCAATTCATATGGCCTGAATTATATGGTACTAATGTACCTCCATTTTAGGATCCTGAAATTCCCATTGATCTTGGGGTACTACCATTTGCAACCACGGGCGTTAGAAATTCCAAATCATAGTTTCGTGAATAAAGCTTTTAAATTGCCTGAATTTTGGTAGCTTCCCCAAGCCTCAAGCAAAATTGCGGGTAATATCGGTAGGATCAAGAAACATGAGAAAGAATGCTTTGAAGATCTTTGGGGCCGGGTTCGCCCGATTTTTCTTGCTCTTCTCTTGGAGCTGCAATGCCAAAATTCAACCGTTTAGGAGGGATTGCCTCAATGCAGGAAACGCAAGGAGATTCTAGAGATGGGGAGTTCAGTTGTTTCGTGCCATCAAAAAACATGTTATAAACTTCAACGGAAGAATGTGGACCAATGAGAACCAAGATCAATGGTTGAAACCATGATAAGCCCATACTTTGCTGCAACACAGATTTTTTGGGAACTCCATGAGGGGGTTTGCTTACGAAGCGGTGGTGTGTTTATCCTTGATATTGATGATATTGGCTCACGCCTGCGTTTAGATTGGTTGCATCCCTCTTCTTTCTGGCATTCTGATGGTGCTGGGCTGGTTTTTGTTTCCATCTTCGGCTTGAAGGCTATGATGGCTATGCTACTTTTCATCATCATTGGGTGTACCCTCCATCCAACGAAACATAGACCAACCTTTATGAGTTAGAGGTGGACAGTTTGATTTCCATGGCGATTCTCAAAGGATGGTGTCATATGAGTTCCAAAAGATAAAGATCCCACCATTCATTGGATTGGTTTACGGGAAAATTCACAGGAACCCTCCCCCATATTTAATGGTAAAAACCATGGTTTCCGGTTAAGATTTTCCCTTGAACCAAAATGAACCATAATTATTGGGATATATTGGGGTTTGACAATTGGGTATACCACATAATAGATCCTAATAGCCATGGCTAGATCAGCAACATGATGACTATCCATCAGATTTTGGGGTAAAAAAATGGTGCCAATATGCTCAGAGAAATCCATATCCGTATCCTGTCTTGACCCCAGAAACGATCCCAGTTGGTTGTTTTTAAGAAAACTCGAAACGGGAAATTGTGTGGGCGTGCCTGAACATGATATTGGATACTATTGAATGGTATACTGGTATACCCCCCAAGATTGCACTTCGGTAGGAAACATTATGATCATCAGTTATAAAATGCTAAAATTTATGGCTGGTTGGTGGTTTGGAACCATGGAATTTTATGACTTTCCATATATTGGGAATGTCATCACAACTGACTCATATTTTTCGTGCTAGGGCTCAACCACCGGGAATTGCTCAACATTTCAGGCCCAAAGCAGCCAACCAATCAACTTACCAGCAAGACAAGCAACTTACCAGCTTTTATACACGAGAAAACAGATATAAAACAGTTCTAATGTGTCATAACAAACCGATATAGATGAATGGAGGTGTTGAGAAAGTTTTCGTTTCATATCCGGTAAAAATTTGATGCTGCGAATGTGCAGGAATGTGTTTAAGAATGTTGAAGAGGCTTTCACAAGCACTCAGGTTGTGGTACATGGGATTGCACCGACAAATGCATATAGTCGACAAATATTTAAGATGGGGCCAAACATGGCCACACGAAGGACTTTCAGTTTCCAACTTCTGGCATTGCGGTCTCCCATATTTGACCTGGATGGCGTACTCATACATTTAGCAACATTAAGCCATCCCCTGCCATCGCGCGTAGCGCGGTCCGCGCGAGTTGGCCATGCAACATGTTTTAGACGCTTTGGCGCCCGTCAGTGATGGATTTATGGGTGTCAAGCAGCCTGTTACGGAGTTTTGGGAACCAGATCTAAAGCAACTGGCTGTTGGAAACCTTACCTTCCCAGGTGAAAATCGAAGGAAGCACAATTGGGATATTCCAATCCAGTTTTCCTTCAGATTGCCTCTTTACTGGACGAAATGTGCAGCAAAACCACGATTTCCGCCAGTTTTTCCCTTTTGGGAATCGCAATTTCCCATGGTTTCTAGTAGATTCGTAGATGTTGGTATTCATCCACTAGTGAAGGCGTGAAATTCATTGGATTGGTTCGAGGGAAAATCTTAACCGGAAAACATGGTTTTACCATTAAAGATGGGGGTTTCCTGTAAATTTTCCCGTAAACCAATCTATATAATGAGAAATGGAAGCCTCAAGACTCAAGTGGCTCAAGGCCAATGTGTTTTTTAAGTCTGAGGACGGAGGACTTGCATCTTCCATCGCCCTCTGTTGCTTGGTTTAGATGAACAGTTGGTGCTGTTGGTTTTTGGCACCAATGGCTAGGAAGTAACGAAGAGAAACGGTGGGTAAAACCTGGTAAAACAATGACATAAACCACCCATTTGGGAATGGTTGAAACAACCTATTTATGGTGATTTTGGGGATGGTTTATTATTGTTTTACCCACATTCATGGTATCACACATAATTGTTGAAGGTATATCATTTAGACCGGATATCAGCCCAATGGATGTCGAATCAACCGCATGAATGATTTGGGTTCAATCTTGGGGGTACCAAGGTTCTGTTTGAAGATGGGGCACCCCCCATTTCAATGGATGATCATGTCTTAAGTGACATTTGAAAGGGTGGATTTGTAGGTGCCTCCGGGTAGGTATTGCTTAGGTTCATGCTGTGTATCGTTATTGATCTACTATGCCTATGCCTCATGTTTGGGGCAAATATTGGTCCATCGTATGAATCGTCCAAGAAAGCACCAAGGGGTGCCCCTTGATTCAACCACTGCGTTTTTCCGTGGTGAATTTCCTCGAAGTACCGCCAACTAGTCATCCCTAGGTTTGTTGCAGGGGATGTTGTTTCTTCGAGCCCTAGTTTTGCTGGGTAATCATCATGTTTTCTGGTTCATCATCCACTTGTTGCTTCGTTGGATCATGGTGATCATCCGATAGTTTGATGAACCGTGTTCAGATAATATCAGTCATCCCTTGGGTTTGTTTTTTTCTTTTCGGGCCCCGTTCTTATCCGTTTTTATTCGTCAATCAATCCTCTGATGAACCGCCTGGATCTTCTCACTAACAACTTACAACCCCATTGATGTTCGATGATGTCCCACAGCTATGAAATGCTACAAACATCTGTGTACATGTCTAAACCACGTGGAGACGATTTCCCAGGTAGCCATGTTTAATTACTAGCGTATACTATGGAAAATAACCATGTTTAAGAACTGTAAATCATCATATTAACCGAACTGATTTTGTGCCATCTATATATAACTATCTAAATAAATAAATAAATAGATACACACACACATATATATATATATATACCTGCTCCCTCAAGAACATGTTTTTTCTGGGTAACCTATAATTTACTTCATATTTCGCGAATAACAGTGTTTCTCAAAAAAACAACGTTTTTTTTGAAAACCATAACTTAAGTGGAAACATGTGGAAACCCCAACCCAGGAATGCAATCGCAGGAAAACATGTCATTTTTCATGCAACCGTCTGCAATCTAAACATCACACGGGGGTGGATCAGGCCGGCTTTGGTCCACACATCGTAGGCTCCAATCAAATACCTCTGCAAAGTCCGTAACATTGTCAAATGTGGGGATACACGTCGGCTGACCCTGTCCAGCCGTCCCACGCAATCTTCGTCTTGTTGGCATGTCGTGGCCAGAGGCGACATGCTCATGCCACAGGACTTTGCGTCCGCATGCAGCTTGATGATCATGATGAGGTGAAGACTGTGGAGCTTGGGAAATAGCAGATACAACCACCCCCTTTTCGCGTCAAAGCAATATCTCGCGAGCTCCGGGCAACTTTTCAGAAACGAGAAACCCAAATGAGCAATGTACAAACTTTCATCTCGATTCAGGAAGAGCGGACTGTTGAAGAGGTAGCCAAAAAGGGAATTCTTTTTGGTTGCAGCATCAAAACATTTCTCCAGAGCACCATCGTTGTCAGCTGGTAGATCGCGAAGCAAGCAAGGTAGCCACCTCATGACGTTTGACGTAAGCGCTCCTTTGGACCAACACCCCTTAACACCCGTCTTGTCACTGTAAGACATCAAATTAGGTGTGATCTTCGTGAGGTGTGGCTGTAACTTCTTCTCTCTGCAAAAAAAAAAGTAATGCTCGCTCAGCCATGGCCGTGGCCATTTCAATTCTAGTGTCCTTGCGTGATGACTTAATCGTAAACAAAGATGCGCTGTACTCGCCACAAAGGCCTTGCCGATGCCTAAGTGGAGACCATGCCAAGGATCTCCATGAAAAACAGAAGCTGGGTCAGCTTGGTCGTGACAAAGCCTTTCAATAAAGGCAGGTGGTTCGTGCCACGGCATTGAAGCTCCAACTGTTCTCAGCCATCTTGGCGATTGGGTAGCGGTTTCTTCATAGGGAAACTCGTCTTGGCCGGCAAGACATAGCGTCCCTCCCTTATTCTCACCAGATTGGAAGGTGACCGGAAGGTGCGAGTAAACTTCGCCACTTTGGAAAGGTATGGCCAGTCTCCCTTGGTCCCAGTAGCACATGCCTTGTTGTGTTGCTTGGTCACAGGACCAAAGACGCCAACAAGGAGAAGGTCTTGCAACTCTTGACTCGAAACGTCCATGGCTCCGTAAAAACTTCTGGTTTGGATTCATGCAAGTGCTTTGATATGGCACTGGTGACCATTCGCGTTGTATAGGTGTGGCCAACATAGTTCACTCGTAGCACAAACGAACCATTGCGATCCCTTTTCATGCGCTTCGCGTCGAAGCCAAAACCCAGGGCAGACCGTAGGACAGTATATAATCATTATACCAGACTTCTTCAGCATCCGCCCCTCATCTCCATGAACAAAGAGGGCTGCTTCCAAACCATAGGCACCAAATGCCTATCAGCCTATCAGCATCCGACAAACCAGCCAGCCTGTGGATCCACTATGAATTTGAGCCAATCCCGTGGGGATATCCACGGGATTGATTCACCACATGCACTGAACTCAGACTTTGGTACGTCTAATTTGAGTAGTGCCCTGATTCTGTACAACTTTTTGGACATCTCTTTCACTATTTTTTGGGTGAATCCGCGCCCATGCCCGAACTCCCGCTGTGTGGTTCGGGAGCGGCGCTTGGGTGGTCATCCCGCCGTGGTTCACCCCCCGCTTGAGAGTCAAGCTACTTTCGGACAGCTGCAACATCTTCTTGGGTTTGTGGATCCTCCTCATCACCGTTGTCATCATCATCCGGGGGCTCTGGACATGACGAACCACGGGAAAGCTCCGCTGCCATGAACTTGTCGATAGTCTCCTGCCAGGGGGTCCAGTGCCATTGGGGTACAAATAAAACATGGCAAGACCATGGAACAAAAAAAGCACAAGTGTGGGATTCATTGAGAATTCAATGATTCTTGAAAAATAGATCAATTTAGATAAACTTGGGTTGGTCATACTTCTGTCCCTATTTTATGAACCGGTGTCCTTGAGACTTGGGTCATACTTGGGTCATACAGCAGCAGCAACTCATGGAACTTGACGTCCTGACAGGGAAAGGAGAAGACGAGGGCATTGGAACCATATGTGGTATACCTTTTACCTCCGTGCCATGCTTATTACTAATCCCTGCAATTTACAGTCTATTTCAACCCAACCCTCCTTAGTGAACTCTTGACGGGTCGGATTGGATCTTCTTTTCACGAAACCTGCGAGTTTCTTGGTTTCCACCGCAGTCTTGTAGATCACTTTGTCGTCGGAAACTACTTACTGCATTGGCTTTCTTGTAGAAAGCCGTGATCTCCGCACTCAAGGGGTCCAAGTACGGCAGGGTATGCTTGGGATCTTCCCGAAGACGAGTAAGAACTGATTTCAAAGCAGCCGCGTTGGCTACACAATTGGCACGGTTAGGTTCAGCCACTTTTGATCAAGGGGGTGATCAGGTGATCATACATTTTCTTACCGGCCCTCAGTCGTTCACGAACTTCTTCTATGGCATCCCATTCTTTGGCAAGCCCTTCAACGTCCATTTTCTACAAGGTCAACCCTGTACGAAGCCTTGATCCAACCAAAATGCCTGCACAAGAGGTGAGATGTAAGGGTGTCTCATACAACCATCATATACCACATTGATGTCCATGATCTTTTTATGATTCTGATTTGCTTTCAAGGTTTCAGCGAAGATTTTGTGACAACTACCCCCATTGTGATCTTGGAATTCCGTTCGATGGCCCTTTGCAGGCATCAACTTCCCGAAGCTTGCTGGCTAACCACGCTTGCCTCTGGAGAAAAATGGGGCTCCGGGCTCCAGCGTGAGCAGCTTTGAAGATGGTTTTCATCACACCAATATGGTCGCAAGAAACGGGGCGATGGTGTCAGAATAATTAAGGCATGTACTCATCAGTCGCTTCCTCTTTGCTGGGGCTATGGGTTGGATGTCCCTTCATGTAGGTCGATCTCCTAGAACACGTTTTTGGTCTCTAGCATTCTGAAATTTGATGGCATTATCTGGGGCTCCAAACTTTATATCACATTACCTCATCACCCAATGGGAACACGAGTTTCCGGTGGTCTGTGCCTTCTTTGATTGAACCGAGCAGGGGAATTACAGAACATCAGGTTGAATTTATCATCATATAGTTTTATGATGCTGATAAGATCGATCATTTTCTTGATGACAACGATTGACATGTTAAAAAAACATGGTGTTTGGAAAAAAAACACTGTTTTTTTGGGGTGGAAAACCCGGTAATTGGACACATATCCAGGGAAAACATTGTAATTCATTTTCAACCCTTAAAAAGTGGGTTGTTGATGCAGCAGGTAGATAAATATATATATAATTATATGTGTGTGTGCGTGTGTTTTTTGAATACCTTTAAAAGCTAACTAACACTTTCATTCTTATATTATCCACCATTTTTTGTTGCGATTTTTCCCAGCTATAGACCTCCACGGCTGGTTTCCATCATCCGTTTGTCCAGGTCTATGGCCCTCAGAGGTTGCTTCTGTTGCCAGGGCGGCCCCCGGCTGCGTTGTGCTGATGAAGGCGCCCTGGGTGAGCCTTGATGTACTATGATTAACTCCAAGATAATGCCAGTTATTTATGGTTTTTAGGGTTTCATAGCGGTTCATACTTGGAAGTTTACTGGAATATCATTTTAAGATATCAAGAATCTATCGGAGTTATGTCTTGGAGGCTGTCTTGGCATGATGTTATACGGACGTGATCTATGTAAAACGGAAGTGGCCTTCCCTTTCGTTGTTGAGTTTTCTTGAAGCCTTGTTGGATGAAATCTCCTTTCAGATTTGCCTGAGTCCTGGTTGCACTAAGATCCACCCGCCAATCAGTCCCAACCCCCTTCAACGTAGGGTACTGGGATCGACTGGGATATTCCCTGAAGTCAGCATCCATATGTAGAAACTAGGCAGTTATGAGGTGGGCACATGGAAACCCCAGGTCCAAAGCTCTCGACTTCGCGGGACGTCAAAGATCTTTTCAAAAAAATAATTAAACAAAAGGTTATAGAACATTTTTTTTGGTCCCTCTCCTTCTCATCCCCACTTTCAAGATCAAATACCCAATTGTTTGAGGTTCTTGCTATCATTCTGCCCCCTCATCTCCAGAAGTTGTCGAGTTTTCTGCTACGAATAATGTGGTAAACCCAATCTTCAGTTTTATCGCTTTTCATGGTGAATATTCCCCTGAAATCTCAAGTTTTGAACATACATTCCCAATAACATTGGCGATATTTATACACATTCCAATTCATATCCCTGAAGCCACCATAGAATTTGCAGAAAATCATGCTTAATCCATGAACTAATGCTGAGTTATCAACAAAAATCATCCATCCCCATCCCCTTCCGCCAGGCCAGCCGCCATCTCCTGAGTTCGCCGTCGCTGCGCGGCGCGCTGCTGTCCTTGGTCGCCGACCGCTGCGGCGCCGCGACGGCGGAGGCCGTGCTGTTGGCGGAGCGTGGGCAGATGCGGCAGCGCCTGCCGTGGCCACGCTGGCAGGTGCCAAGGGCAGGGGTGGGGTGGGGTGGGGATGGTTAATAGATTGAAATAGATTGAAATAGATGAATTAACAGATTAATTAACATCAATAACATGTGATAGAGATGGATACACAGCTAGGATATAGCGTGAAAAATGGAGAAACCAAAACAAAAACATGGTACAAACTGGGATTGGGAGGATTTCACATATGAACTACACACTTTCTATTCATAATATTATATATGTATAATATATATATATATGTATATATTTATTATATTACAATGTGTTTATAAATAATTATTTAATGTATCATTATATTATATTATATTATATTATATTCTTAAATTATATTATATTATTAAATTACATTATAGCGAATTATTGTATTATATTTTATTTTATGTTTTTGTATTAAATCATATTATCTTATTTTTTTATTCTATCATATCATATTATATTATATTATATTGTATTGTATTGTGTTATATTTTGTTTTATTATATATATATTTTTTTCTGAATTATATTTATTATATGATATTATATTATTATACTATTTTGTATTGTATTATATTATATTAAAATATATTATTTTGTATTGTTTTAAATTATATTGTAGTTTCTTGTATTTTATTTGTTTTATCATTTTATATATTATATTATATTATCTTGTATTATATTATATTTTAATTTGTTCTATTATGTGAGATTGTTTTTCTATTATCTTAAGTTATCTTATTTTATATTATTATATATTATATTATATTATTATAAATTATATTGTATTGTTCTATATTATATTATATTATATTATATTTTTGATATCGTATAATTTATTATATTATATTGTATATTATTTTATAAATATTATTAAATATTACTATATTATATTATATTATATTATATTATATATATATTAAATTATATTCTATTGTATTAAATTATATTATGTTATTTTATATATTTTATTATTTTATTTTATATTGTATTATATTATATTATATGATATTATCTTTTATTATATCATATGATATTACATTACATTATATTATATCATTATAGTATAGTATTATATTGTAGTATATCATATTATGTTTTATTCTATCATGTTTTTAAATATTATATTACATTATATAATATTAATATATACATACATACATATATTTGTTAGTTTGTGTGTGTGTATGCACATGTACTAGGATGCTCCTACATGCTATCTACAGTCTACCGGAAACATTGGGGGTACGACCTGTCGGTTGCAGCATTTTGCAGAGTTCACCCAATTCTGCCAGGAATTCGAGGCTGTTGACGGTCAAAACAGATTGGTTGTAGAGAAAAGTATGTAAACCATGGGGAAAACAGAAAAAAATCGATGGGGAAAAAACATAGAAACAAATCGTCTTGATATGGTTAGTTGCTTGGCATTGATCGAATTCAGGGGATCAAAACCAATCCACAACCAATCCAGTTGAAGCGGTGTGGTTGGTGACTTTCAATAGTAACCTGGACCCAGCGTTTGCTGCGATCGGCGGAATCGGATATTGGTGGGTTTACTAAGAATTACCATCCCCTTTGAAACAGTGACGTCAGCATGAGCATTGTTTTTCGATGTTTTTGTCCTTTTGCACCAACTTCAGCTAGCCGCGTTTGACACCGAAAGGGTGACCATTACAGTCATCATTTCCCCATCATAATCCATAATATCACCATTCAAACCCAATTTTTGAAGCTCAAACCAGGGTTTTTCAACGTGTTTTTCACCCTTTTTTATCCATTTGTCATATACATCACTAACTGAACACCATGGATGCCTGCTTTTTCCAATGGTTTATTTTTACCAGTTTTCCCACCTGGGGCCCACTTCCCCGAGGACGCGCTGGTGGTGCTGCAACACTGCGGCCTGGCAGTACACCAGGAACGGCGCGCCATGCAGGTGGCCCTGCGCAGTGGTCCCGTGAAGGCGGTGCCGCGGCCATTTTATGGCCATTTGATTGGGGGAAGAATGGTGATGTGTGAGACTTATGGTGATTTTGAGTGGTGATTTATTGGAATTTAGAATGGGATCATAATTTATGATGGTGATTTTAACGGAATTATAGTGGTGATTTATTGGAATTATCATGGTGATCTGATTTATTGGAATACATAATGGTGATTTAATGGTGATTTTAATGGTGATTTAATGGGACTAAGATGTATATATCTATCCCATCCCCCTGATGTGAAAACACCAGCTAAAGGGTCCAACATATGTGGAAATCCCGTATTAAACCATTGTTTGTAGGGGGGGTGGTTGGTATTAGGGTGATGGAATCAAAACTTAACCCGGCAATTTATAGGATAGTGCGGTGATATTGATATTAATGGCATTTGATGGCATTTTCGGATAAACCATGATAAACCTCTATTTGAAGGGTATCCGAAAATCGGCATTTCTGTTGACTAGATGTGACCTGCAAACACTGGCAACGAATCAAAGATGTCATAGGTCTGAGTCAATTATTGCTACCCTCTGGTAATTTGGCACATAGCTTTTGAAAATGGCTTATCTTTAATAGACTATTTACCCAACAAAAATATTGTGATTGTCAATATGTTAGCCATTGCCAGAGGGTACAAAAGATGTCTATAGTTAATAGTTGCCTGACTGGTCGACCTCAGTGATGAGTTCGGTTTGGCAACAAAACATGGTCAGTTCTGCCAGGAAAAATACCATGGATATCTGTGAAAAACTGGTCGCCCATGAGCTACCATGTGATCACATGATTTCACATGTGAAATTCCGAATTCCCATCAACCCCCATTAAATCACTTAAATTCAATCAACAAATCTCAGACCACATCCATTCTAAATGGACTAAGTTATACTAAATCACAAGTTTTTCTCATTTTTTCCAGGGTTTTCTCACATTTCCATACATGTCCCACTTTGAAAGCACCTTTTCCATGCCCGTTCCACCGGTTCCTAGGTGAAGTGGCTGCTCCACGCCCGCGCCGACGCGGAGAAGCCCGTCGAGGCGGACCTGACGCCCCTCCGGCTGGCGGCGCGCTTCGGAAATGACGAGGTGGTGGAAACTCGAAGCCAGGTGGTGGGTGGTGGCCCAAAAAATGCCATGATATACTGGTTGGTGGTTTGGTGGTTGGGAAAACCATGGGAAAACACCCATGGGAAAATATGGTGATTAAAAAAAGTAATTATATATGGCTTTTGTTGGTGGTTTGGAACCATGGTTTTTTTCCCCACATCTTTGTGTGGGGTTCTTGTTTTTGATTCTGTATACCGGGCTTCTCCTCCTCCTCCTCCCGCCGCCTCCGTCACAACAACACACACACAACAACACCAACATACACAACAACACAACAACACAACAACACACACACACAACAACACAACAACACACACACACACAACAACACAACAACACACACACACAACAACACAACAACACACACACACAACAACACAACAACACACACACACACCAATCACACAACGACACACACACACAACACACACAACAACACACACACACCAACACACACACACAACAACACACACACAACAACACAACAACACACACACACACCAATCACACAACAACACACACACACACACCAATCACACAACAACACACACACACAACAACACCAACAACACAACAACAACACACACACAACAAACACACACAACAACAACAACAACAACAACAACACCAACAACAACAACAACAACACCAACACACAACAACACACAACAACACACAACAACACACAACAACACACAACAACACACAACAACACACAACAACACACAACAACACACAACAACACCAACACAACAACACACAACAACACACAACAACAACACAACAACACACAACACAACAACACAACAACACACAACAACAACAACAATAACAACAACAACGCACAACAACACACAACAACACACAACAAAACACAACAACACACAACAACAAACAACAACACACAACAACACACAACAACACACAACAACACACAACAACACACACAACAACACAAACAACACACAACAACACACCACAACACACCACAACACACACAAGAACACACAAGAACACACAAGAACACACAACAACACCACAACACACCACAACACACAACAACACACAACAACACACAACAACACACAACAACACACAACAACACACAACAACACACAACAACACACACCAACACACACCAACACACAACAACACACAACAACACACAACAACACACAACAACACACAACAACACACAACAACACACAACAACACACAACAACACACAACAACCCACAACAACACAACAACACACAACAACACACAACAACACACAACAACACACAACAACACACAACAACACACAACAACACACAACAACACACAACAACACACAACAACACACAACAACACACAACAACACACAACAACACACAACAACACACAACACCACACAACAACACACAACACCACACAACAACACACAACAACACACAACAACACACAACAACACACAACAACACACAACAACACACAACAACACACACCACACACCACACAACACAACACACAACACAACACAATACACAACACAACACAACACACACAACACAACACAACACACACAACACAACACACACACAACACAACACACACAACACAACACACACACACAACACAACACACACACAACACAACACAACACACACACACACACAACACACACAACACACACACACAACACACAGAACACACAAAACACACACACAACACACAGAACACACAAAACACACACAACACACACAACACACACAACACACACCACACACAACACACAACACACAACAACCACCACAACCACACCACAACACACAACACACAAAAACACACACACAACACACACACACACACAAACACACACAACACACCCACAACACACACAACACACCAACAACACACAACACACACCAACAACACACACACAACCACACACACCAAACACACCACACAACACACACCACAACACACCACAACACACCACAACACACCACAACACCACAACACACCACAACACACAACACAACACACAACACAACACACAACACACAACACAACACACAACACAACACAACACACAACACACAACACACAACACAACACAACACACAACACAACACACAACACAACACACACACATACAACACAACACAACACACACAACACAACACAACACACACACACACAACACAACACACACACCACACACCACACAACACACACAACACAACACACAAACTCACATCTACTGTCGTTTTGCGTGGCAGGCGAGCCACTGATGTTTTGCGTGGCAGGCGAGCCACTGATGGTACTGGGTGGCGCCCTTGGGCCGGGATTTGGCGCCGGGGCGCCGCGCCACTTTGCGTGGCAGGCGTGGCACAATCTGACACCACCTTCGTTTCACGTGGCAGGCGTGGCACAATCTCACATCTACCGTCGTTTTGCGTGGCAGGCGTGCCACTTATGGTACTGGGTGGCGCCCTTGGGCCGGGATTTGGCGCCGGGGCGCCGCGCCACTTTGCGTGGCAGGCGTGGCACAACCTGACATCCACCTTCGTTTCACGTGGCAGGCGTGGCACAAACTCACATCTACCGTCGTTTTGCGTGGCAGGCGTGCCACTTATGGTACTGGGTGGCGCCCTTGGGCCGGGATTTGGCGCCGGGGCGCCGCGCCACTTTGCGTGGCAGGCGTGGCACAATCTGACATCCACCTTCGTTTCACGTGGCAGGCGTGGCACAATCTCACATCTACCGTCGTTTTGCGTGGCAGGCGTGCCACTTATGGTACTGGGTGGCGCCCTTGGGCCGGGATTTGGCGCCGGGGCGCCGCGCCACTTTGCGTGGCAGGCGTGGCACAATCTGACATCCACTTTCGTTTCACGTGGCAGGCGTGGCACAAACTCACATCTACCGTCGTTTTGCGTGGCAGGCGTGCCATTTATGGTACTGGGTGGCGCCCTTGGGCCGGGATTTGGCGCCGGGGCGCTGCGCCACTTTGCGTGGCAGGCGTGGCACAACCTGACATCCACCTTCGTTTCACGTGGCAGGCGTGGCACAAACTCACATCTACCATCGTTTTGCGTGGCAGGCGTGCCACTTATGGTACTGGGTGGCGCCCTTGGGCTGGGATTTGGCGCCGGGGCGCCGCGCCACTTTGCGTGTCAGGCGTGGCACAACCTAACATCCACCTTCGTTTCACGTGGCAGGCGTGGCACAAACTCACATCTACTGTCGTTTTGCGTGGCAGGCGTGCCACTTATGGTACTGGGTGGCGCCCTTGAGCCGGGATTTGGCGCCGGGGCGCCGCGCCACTTTGCGTGGCAGGCGTGGCACAACCTGACATCCACCTTCGTTTCACGTGGCAGGCGTGGCACAAACTCACATCTACCGTCGTTTTGCGTGGCAGGCGTGCCACTTATGGTACTGGGGTGGCGCCCTTGTGCCGGGATTTGGCGCCAGGGCGCCGCGCCACTTTGCGTGGCAGGCGTGGCACAACCTGACATCCACTTTCGTTTCACGTGGCAGGCGTGGCACAAACTCACATCTACCGTCGTTTTGCGTGGCAGGCGTGCCACTTATGGTACTGGGTGGCGCCCTTGGGCCGGGATTTGGCGCCGGGGCGCCGCGCCACTTTGCGTGGCAGGCGTGGCACAATCTGACATCCACTTTCGTTTCACGTGGCAGGCGTGGCACAAACTCACATCTACCATCGTTTTGCGTGGCAGGCGTGCCACTTATGGTACTGGGTGGCGCCCTTGGGCCGGCACAAACTCACATGCATACATACATACATACATTCATACCTACCATTTTACCTTCTCGATCTTTCACCACCTCCTTTGTCTTTCCTTCCTTCCCTGTCCCCGCTAAAACCATTGAAGCTCATTTTAGGAAGAAGTTGACTTGTGGGGTTATCCGGTCCTTTAATTTGACTTTCCATAATATATGGGAACCAAATGAGGATTTCTATATATTATATATGGGATGTAAGTGTGGTGGGGCAAATCCTGTGAGAGACCCTGGGAAAAAACGTTTGCTTATGGGTTTTTAGATGAAACATGGACGATTTATAGAGGATGAAACAACATTTACAGTAAGTCGAACAATCAGCAAAAGAGAAAGATATTTGAGGGTTTAACGATGACAATATCCAACAGGGGATTCATTGGTGATTATTGAGCCAAAATCATTATCTGGGCAGCCAGGATGGTTGCAATGAAAAGTATGTATTATTGTAAGGGGAGTAAAAATTAAAACTATTAATCAATAGCAACTTGAACATATGTATTGGTACTGGATGTTCGAAAATTTTGGAATTAGTTGAAGCAAAGTCCGCAGTTGGAAATTCTTGGCGGGTGGAAAGAGAAACATCAAAGGAACACATGGGTATCTGAGGATCCACCTGGAGTAATCCAAAATAGTGATGCAACTGATTGGAACCAACAAAAAATCAGGGCATTTAATCGACACCAAAATTGTGGTGCTTTGAAGCACCAAAATCGGGGGTCGAAGTGGGGGCGGCCATCACAAAGTGGGATGTACATCACTGACTGCGAAGGGATCCAGGCAAATCTTGGAGAAAACGATCGAAGGCCTAAAACAGATAGAAACCATTGGGAAAACGATGAAAAACTGGTTGAACGGCAGGAATTCGAGTGGAAATTTCATCCTGGAAGTGTTGTTCATTGTTGTTCTATTTTTGGGCCGGAGCTGATGACCTACTTGAAAAAACAATGCACCTGAGAAGCTGTCAAAACCACATTTCCAGGAAGAAACGAAGAAACGGTTGCTCCAAATGCATATGTTTGCAGGTTCCATGTTAGCTTTCAGGGCATGAAACTCTTGAACATAGCAAAACTGGCACTGGTATTTCCACCCAGCCCATGAACCATGGCATTGTGGCAAACCCAAGAACAGGAGATACCCTCATCATCCCTTTTCTAACATCATAAACCATTTCGTGATATCTGGGGGCATTTATGTAGTCTGAACAGTGTTTTATGGTATTCAGTGGGTCAATTTTCAAAGATTGGGTTATACCCCATTGAGTGGTTCCATAGAAACGTCACCCATTTTGGATGCCCATTGGGGCACCTTTGGAAGATTTCTTGGAGTGCCATCCCTACTTGTCGGTTGATATCTAAGGCTAGGTCCTAGGTCGCACCAATGGCTATCCAAAAATACGTTTTCTCCTAAAAGTTTGGAATTCCCACATGGAGTACCACCGGATTGTTAAGGCTATTTCCGATTCAAAGTTCCACTATCTCAGGATTGTCTAAGAGTTAGCCTTTTCTAATCATTGATGGTTCTAGATGATTATAGATTCTAGATGATTATAGACGATAGTTAATGGCTATAAGTAGATCATTAGCCTATAAATTTGTTTCCATGATTTGTTTATCAATAGTTGGGATTGTGGCATTGTGGATCATTGTCATTCATCTTTTCTAAAACTTTAAAAGCTTCTATATCAATAGTTGGAATGATAGATCATTATCCTATATATATATATATATGTCCGATTAATCTCAATAGCTGGGATTGTAGATCCATTATCCTTCATAATTTTCTATAACTTTTGAAAACATAGTTGAGATTATAGATCATTATTCTATATATTTCCCATGGAATTTCTATCGGTAGCTGGGATTCTCGATCATTATCCTTCATATTTTTCTTGAACACATTTTAACACATGTTTATATCAATAGTTGGGATTACAGATCATGAATGATCATTATCCTTCATAATTTTCTTTAAATAAACCAATAATATGTACCCTCTGGTAAACTAACATAGCTATGGAAAATCACAATTTTTAATGGAAAAACTCACTATAAATTCCAAGTTTCAATAGTTATGTCAGTTTACCAGAGGGTATGTAGTTGGACCATGGCCTTTAGAAGGCTGCGGTGTTTTGTGGACATTGGGGGGTGGGTTGGGGTGGGGTGGGGTGGGGCGGGGCATGTATTAACGTTCATGTGAACTTGCTGATGAAGACATGCTACTTTGTGGCTGCCGGCAGGTGCATGTATTCATTCATGGGTGGGGCATCTTTTAACGTTCATGTGAGTTTGCTGATGAAGGACATGCTACTCTCTGTGGCTGCCGGCAGGTGCATGTATTCATGGGTGGGGTGGGGTGGGGCATGTTCATGTGATCTTGCTGATGAAGGACTTGCTATTCTTGTGGCTGCTATTGCAAGTTCTCCCGAACTTTCCACTCATGCGTCATGCTACGCTACTGTAAGTTCTCTTTGGAGCACAAAGACTGTGGACATTCCACTTTGCACCCTTCAGTGACACAATATGTGTTCATGTGGTGCTGGCGTTCTAGCTTAGAAAATCCAGATCCTCAAAAGTTCTTGGAAGAACTACAAGCGCTGCTCTGACCAAAAGACGGCTCAAAACATGTCAGGTCAAACTAGTTTCAGCCTCGGGAAAAACCAAAAAATACTAGTTTTGTCTAGGCGAAATAATGCGAAATACTTGTTTTGAAAAACTGCACCAGAAAAGGGGTTAACGGCCTGAAAAACCACATCAAACAAATTCCTATTGGCACGAGCACATCAAACATGATCCATGACACCCCGTTGATCACAAAAAACCCACGGCCTTCTAAAGGCCATGCTCCTAGTTTCAATCAGCAGTTCTTGGATTTCCCCCCGTTTGTTGCCGTTGATTTTTCCGAGGATACGTTGCTGGAAGGCAAGGCGGAGGCCAACACCCGCGGACGCTTCGGCTACACTGCCCTGATGGTGGCGGTGCCGTGGTTTTCACAGATGCCGAGGTGGTTTTGGCCAAAAATGATGGGAGAAACTTGACGTATCGGAAAACCATAGGAAATCCAAATGATAGACTGGTTGGTTGCTTGGAACATTTTTCCCCACCTGCCAGGTGAGGGTTGTTAGATTTTATGTCAGTTGCTTCCTCCTCGTCCTCCTCCTCCTCGTCCTCCTCCTCCTCCTCGTCCTCCTCCTTCTCGTCCTCCTTCTCCTCCTCCTCCTGCTCCACTGCGATCCATGTCAGTGTGTCCTGCCGGACCTCAACCACGACCATCCACGTTCAGTGTGCCCTGCCGGACCTCAACCACGACCATCACCGCCCAGTGTTCCCTGCCGGACCTCAACCGCGAGTATCCCCGCCCAGTGTTCCCTGCCGGACCTCAACCACGACCATCCCCGCCCAGTGTTCCCTGCCGGACCTCAACCACGACCATCCACGCCCAGTGTTCCCTGCCGGACCTCAACCGCGAGTATCCACGCCAAGTGTTCCCTGCCGGACCTTATGTAGGAAGATAAAATGTCAGATAGAGTGCCAGAAGATTTGCCAGGTAGAATGCCAGAAAATATGCCAGAAGATATGCCAGATAGATATGCCAGAAGATATTCCAGAAGATATGCCAGATAGAATGCCAGATAGAATGCCAGAAGATGTGTCAGAATATATGCCAGAAGATATGCCAGATAGAATGCCAGATAGAATGCCAGAAGATATGTCAGATAGAATGCCAGAAGATATGCCAGATAGAATGCCAGAAGATTTGCCAGATAGAATGCCAGAAGATATGCCAGAAGATATGCCAGATAGAATGGCAAATAGAATGTCAGAAGATATGTCAGATAGAATGACAGAAGATATGCCAGAAGATATGCCAGATAGAATGCCAAATAGAATGTCAGAAGATATGTCAGATAGAATGCCAGAAGATGTGCCAGTAAGAACATGTATAAATGTCATGGTGGGGATCACACGAAGTAAAGTAATTTATTTTCAATAATATAATATATGAGATAATCCTTCCCATTGACTAATATTTTGGGCATTCTCCTAACCCATTTGATTGGTGGTTTGGATGTGTTTTTTATTTTCCCATAGATTGGGAATATTGATCTCAACTGACTAATATTTTTCAAAGGGGTTGAAACCACCAACCACAGATGGGAAATCCAAATGATAGGAGAGACAGGAAAAGCCGGAGAACCATAGGAAAAAACTATATCGGAAAATGTTGACGACGCATCATATGTTTCATTTTATGGGATATCATGTGCAATTTTTATGGGAATGTAATGGGATAATATGGGATGTAATGGGATATAATATAATTATGATTAGTAGGGGCAACTACCCAAAATTCGCCTTAAGGAGGTACAGGGATAGGCTTGTACTATGGAATGCTTATATAATGATACTGGCATATAGGATATAATGGTATACTTACATATGACTAGTGGATACTTCATATACTGCAATCTTTGGATAGCAGGCTTTGTTACCTGCATATGTGTATATATATATATGGTAGATCATTGGGAGGGTGAGCATATATATATAACACCCGGAGAGATAGAAAAACACAACATCACTATTTTAGTAGGATTTTACCTTTCTATCTATTTTGGTATCCTCCAGTGAACTAACATAGCTGTGGAAAATGGCGCACTAGTAGGTGACAAAACCCATTCAGAATGGTGATTTCCATGGCTATGAACATGGTGTCAATGGGACTTTCAGAACCGTAAAAGATGGGCGTAGTGTATAATACTTTGGCCATATGTTTGGAGGATATTGCCTTACATAGCCCTGAAAAATAGGCCTGAAAAAAACGGTAGGTGCCTCCAATTTAGGTATCTTTTAGGTCCGTTGGTTGGGTGGGCTTATATGGGTACTTATATTGGTTAGATAAAATATGATATAAAATTGAATGTAGGGGAAAGTTATGATCTAATGAACATACCATGAGAATTTCGGTGATTCTCATCATCCAATAAAGGAAATTTTGCGATAGGTAATGGTTATTAAATAATTCGTAGGGGCAACTATCCCAAAAAAGCCTCTTTCCAGGTCAGCGAACTATTTTTCGGTTGGATGGAGACAATTTTTGGCCAATAGAAACGTATTTTTGGATTGGCAGTTTTGTGGTGATTTACTGTTTATCATTCTTTATCGATGGTGTTTGCTGGGATACCAGTAACATGGCACTGGATGGTTTCCGTTTCGACAAAAAGGAGATTAAATCAAGGACAAAAAACATGCGGATGGAACCAAACACAGGGTGTTTACAGAAGCCTTGTGAGATTCAACATGGCGGTGAACAAACACCAAACTTCATATGTTTGCCCTGTTCCGTTTCACTCACTTTACCTGGCTTTACCTGGTCTTGCTTGGGTGCACCTCCGAGAAGAAAGAACACACATTAGGGCATACGTACTATATACTTGACCTTTGAACCATTTCTGGCCTTCCCCCCCCACCCCACTTGAACACGGAAAGAACACGGTGTTTTTCGATTTGTTTTCCAGAATTGGATTGAAAGGGAAAGCAGTTGTTGAAACCCAGCGAGTTGTCACCATGGTTAATGCCAACTGTTGATTAAGAATCGTGGAGTATCGCCCTCCAAAGAGTGATGCAATATGATGCAATACTGTTAAAATTGGTAGCCTCAACTAGTCAACCGGTGGTTTGTCATTGTTTATCGAATTGCGTATCCTCAAATTCCCAGAGCCGACCCAGAAACAGCGCCTCAGAGCCTCGCATCGCAAGGCGATGTACGGCCATTCTGAGATTGTCCAGCTGCTCTTGAGCAAGGGCGCACAGGTGACTTGTTAAACATTGAACTCAACAGCTAACCCCAAAGGGCTTGATGTCAATGCGTTTGGCTCCTTAAGTGTTTACTGTTCGATAATCCCTTCCTCCTAATACTAAACGCCCCCCTATTACTAAACACGGCAGGTAGTTTTTAGTATTAGGGGGGTATTTATTATTAGGGAACCCTATTAATAAAATTAAACCCTTAATAATATAAACTATGTTTTCCGATCTCAAAATCAATTAGATTTCTTTATATAACGCAATTAAAATATTGCCGCAAATTGGATTTCGAAGCTTCCCCCTAATACTAAATTAAAAACCTTAATATAAAAAAATACTTTACTTCGTGTGATCCCCACCATGACATTTATACATGTTCTTACTGGCACATCTTCTGGCATTCTATCTGACATATCTTCTGACATTCTATTTGGCATTCTATCTGGCATATCTTCTGGCATATCTTCTGGCATTCTATCTGACATATCTTTTGACATTCTATTTGGCATTCTATCTGGCATATCTTCTGGCATTCTATCTGACATATCTTCTGACATTCTATTTGGCATTCTATCTGACATATCTTCTGACATTCTATTTGGCATTCTATCTGGCATATCTTCTGGCATATGATCTGGCATATCTTCTGGCATATCTTCTGGCATTCTTTCTGGCATTTTTTCTGGCATTCTATCTGGCATATCTTCTGGCATTCTATCTGACATATCTTCTGGCATTCAATCTGGCATTCTATCTGGCATATCTTCTGGCATATATTCTAACATATCTTCTGGCATTCTATCTGACATATCTTCTGGCATATATTCTGACATATCTTCTGGCATATCTTCTGGCATATCTATCTGGCATATCTTCTGGCATATTTTCTGGCATTCTACCTGGCAAATCTTCTGGCACTCTATCTGATATTTTATCTTCCTACATGAGGTCCGGCAGGGAACACTTGGCGTGGATACTCGCGGTTGAGGTCCGGCAGGGAACACTGGGCGCGGATGGTCGTGGTTGAGGTCCGGCAGGGAACACTGGGCGTGGATGGTCGTGGTTGAGGTCCGGCAGGGAACGCTGGGCGTGGGTGGTCGTGGTTGAGGTCCGGCAGGGAACACTGGGCGTGGGTGGTCGTGGTTGAGGTCCGGCAGAGAACACTGTGGATCGCGGGTCGCAGTTGAGCAAGGACGACAAGGATGACAAGGAGGACGAGGAGGAGGAGGACGAGGCAGGAGGAGGCGGAGGAGGAGGAGGAGGAGCAGGAGGAGGAGGAGGAGCAGGAGGAGCAGGAGGAGCAGGAGGAGGAGGAGGCAACTGACATAAAATCTAACAACCCTCACCTGGCAGGTGGGGAATAAAAGAAATCGGACGGACCCTCATAATAAACACCCTGGGGTGAACTAGTTTTTAATATTAGGGGGGAAAACCCACAAATGGTAGCTTTATTTTTAAATTGGTTTCTAAAGGGGATCAATTAACAGTCAAATTGGCCAATCTGAAATTTTCCACAATTGGAGATGGACACTTAGTTTTTAGTATTTGTGCGGGGTTTAGTAATAGGAGGAAGGGATTATTGAGAAGATCTCTAAATATATCATGATACATCGAGAAAATAAATAAATAAATGAATAAATAAATAAATAAATCTATATATAAATATTATATATATATATACAATACATGGGGCATTCCTCGTCAAATCACAAAAAAAATCCATTGCTTTCCAGCGCCATCGCCCCATCGCCCCGCCAAGGTCAACACCAACGGCGACGGCGAGACCGCCATCGACTTGGCGTATCGCTACCCGCAGCTGGCGCAGCTCCTGCAGCGCCACGTGGACGCCTACGGATGGACCGGCAGCGCGCCGCAGGATGCCACGGATGCCACGGAGAACAACGACGGGGCTTAACGGTGGCTGAAGAAAAAGGGCCTGGGGAGCTGCTTCAGGGATGCGAGAAAAGGAGGATTTACAATGATTTAGAGATTTGATCATCTGGATTTATGATAATTTGATATGATTGGGAATATGTGTGATGATTGTGACTTGTGATGATTGCACTGATTGATGATTTATGGCCGATGCTTGAGTTTTGGTGACGACCTCACCTCGACCCCACTGGCATGATGGTTGATGTATGGGGAATCATCCCCGGCCGAATTGTTCAGCTATATTTTTAAGGGCGGTGAATTGTTGTAGTTTATATAGCCAGACTTATGGTTGATGCTTGATTATTTTTGGTAAGGCTTGACGATTTTATGGTGGATTTCGCCAATAACATTCATGGGAATATCCTGGGATATATGAATTCAACCAGCCCCCCAGTTGGGTGGGGCGGTCACCGAACTGGGGAAGGCTTGATTGAATCCCCATGAGATGTGGCTGGTGGTTGCTGGAATGTCTGGTTGGTGGTTTGGAACATGTTTTATTTTTCTATATATTGGGAATAATAATCCCAACCGCCTTTCATATTTTTCAGAGGGGTAGGTGTACCACCAACCAGTTGTTGTTTTTTGGGGGTCCGTTCCCTGACATGCGGTATTTGAATTGGATGTTTGATGATTTTGTGGTGAAGAAAATGCTGGGTGAATGATGATTCTTATGGATGAGCTGCATGTGCCACACCCAGAAATACACCATGATTGGATATTATTGGCTGGTTTATAGCAGCCATTT